TGCAATTGGGCAAATGTATAAAGAGTAGGTGTAACTATAACATTCACACCTAACATATGAAGTCGAGTGTGATTTAGGAAAAAAGGATTTTGGAGGGAAAGACGACCAAATTCGTTAGATCTCATCGTACCGGTATTTTCAACGACATATATATCTTCGGCTGGCCAACCCGAAGTTATCCATGAGACGACCGTTTGCTGGAGTAATGGCCAATTCCTAGTGAAAGCAATGAAAAGGGGTGTTTTCTCTTTAACGTGGGGGGTCGGAGGTTTGTTCCATGGGGGAATAGGAGGTAAGTCGGCGGCGGAGCGAGCGTTCATTGCTAATGGGAAATTATCTTTGATCATCGGATTGAATTCTTGCTGTTGCTGGACCTCTTGAGATGGAGTACTATTATGTTCATTACTGTCTGCTTTTGGAGCCTGTGTCTGCTCCGAGGGAAAATGTTGTCTTGATTCCGAGGCCTCATTTTGAGCCGCCTGGAATTTGGATGACTCGGCGAGTTCATGTGGCGTATTTGTTGGTGTTGGTGAAGGGGTCGATACCGTTTGTGAATCCGTCGCTACCGCAACTTCAGGTGTTGTCGATGTCATCACTTCTTCCACTGAACTCGTAGTCGAACTCGTTGTCGCCACCCGTTCCCTCTCAACCCCAATCTCGTTATCGTGCAAAATTTCATTGTTTTTCTTAACCTGTTCCCAAACATCCTGCGGTATGATCATCTCCTCACCATAAACCACCCTTTTTGGAATCCTTGGCAGGAAGAATTTCCATGTGTAACAAAACAACAAAATAACCCCAAACAGCACCAAAGTCCTCAATCTTTGTACCACCATTTTCTCAAATCTTCTTGCCTCCAAATCTTTCTACTATAATACGCCACGAATAATTAGAAAAGAATGAAAATGTTATGCAATCCAATGTCAAAATGAAAACATCGAAATTGGAATTGGAAAGTCATCATTCTATAAAAACCAAGGTTGGTTTCTTTTAATACACAGCATAAGGTTGGGAAAGTCTACCCCGTACATTTTGCGTGGAACAAAGCACCGGATCCACCTAAGCCGGAGAGTGGAGTATTTGTAGTCGTACTACTTGTACGATATACAGACGGATAGATTGCTCGCCGAAGTAATAAGCGCTTTAAGCCCGTCTTTTCGTCGTTGTCTAACCTACTCCTACAAAATCCAATTAGGACAAGTATCTAGGTAGCGATATAAAATCTGCGGTATGTGCAACGAGTAAACGTTGCGCATCCAAGATTTACATCATCAATGACTAGAAAATTACGATAGGCATCACCCAATAAAGTCTATCAGAACCTGCACATGCAAGATATTGTTCCCATAGAACCATTTACATCCAACTGTACCTAGATAGTTCTAGGTCCTTCCAGGCTGGCACCTTACAAATTCTAGGTTCTGTACCTGGCGCTAAGCGAGCCACGCAATCGCATCTCGCAAGCCCCTGGCGCCCCTCTAATTTTCAGGGTCACGAAACTGCCGCGAATATGTGGATACCGTACCTTAAAACTCCCTAAAATGTCAAGCCTATGATATGCGATGGCAAGCTTATGACAGGCTTGGCATAATATATGTGAGAAGCAACTCACGCTACTTTGTACCAATGCAACAGATGCAACTTGCAATCATGCAAGTGAAAAAGCAAGGTGAATCACTGAAGATATGCTCCACCTCCAGGAAAACTGGAAGCTCAAATTAGATTTCACCGATGTGCGACTCTGTGATACGTGCTAGTGTGTGATCGTCGCTGGTCTGATTTTCATTGGAGTGCTGATCGATTGTTGGGATGAAACAGAGTATTTATTTGCGACGGGTGGATTGACATTAGGAGGGGAAAGATAGACTGATTACGACATAAGCCTGTTTGTTTTAAACTGTAAAAGTAATTATCGCGGGGATCGTTCATTGAAATCTAGAAAATATGATTCTTTTTCTTTTCTCTTCCAGGATGTGGGAAATGGTGTCTTCGCTGCGCTATGCTATGATGTTTTGCTAATCTATCCCTTTTAAACCTCCTTCGAAAATTATAACTGTATACCCAATCAACAATTTACAGCCAAAGATTAATGGCTCTCAAACTCCACTGATATCACTATCCACTTCAAACAAGATTTCTCGTTATTGTCATCTAAAAATTACTGGCTCTCCTTCCACCTTCGATATGTCTCATCCTCACCCTTTTTCGCGGGCTTCAACTTCCTCAACTTAACACCCCATCTCTTTCTCCACTTGTGCCCTGCCCTCTTTATCCTCTTCCGCGGATAGTTAACAGGACTTTCACCACCCGCAAATATTGCAGCATCATATAAGAACGCCCCAAAAATAGCACCCAGAATCGGCGCACACCAATTTCCCCAGATCCAATATACATCAGTGAAGAGATCCTCTCCATAGCCAAGTGCTAGGAGCGCAAGTCTTGGACCAAGATCTCGAGAAGGGTTCAAAGCAGCGCCAGTATTGTAACCAAAAGCCATACTGAGAACGACGATCACGAGTCCCATTACAAATGCTGACATACCAGCTCCTGGAGGTGCGTTCATGTCGTCTCCTAGTGCTAGGACTGCGACTGCTAGGATTGCAGTTCCGACGAATTCGGTGAAGAATGATGTACTAGCGTTAATCCAGGCATACCTGGGGTATGTAATAAAAGCTCCCATAGTATCGCCGGTTTTCAGGTTGGTCCCTCCATATTCGACGATGTTGGTTTGATAGAGACCGAATGCTATCAACGCTGCGATGAACGCTCCTAGTATCTGTGCGAGAACATACATTGGTACTTTGCGAAGAGGAAAACCTCGATATATCCAGAGCATTATGGAAATGGCCGGATTGAGATGAGCTCCGGAAATACCACCAGCAATGTAGATACCAAGCATTGATGCCAAACCCCAAGCCCAATCGGTAGTAGCTTCGTTCCCTGCAGGTGATGAATTTTTGCCTGATGTTACCACCACTAGATCCGCACAAAATCCGAGTGTAAGTTGGCAAGTGACCTAGAAACTTGTCAGCAGGGGAAAGAGTTTATTTTCAATGAAGAAGGACTCACGGCCAATAACTCCGCAAGTGGTTCTCGAAATCGCAATCGTATAACGGACCAGTGTGTATGAAGATTGTGAATCTCATCATCGTAATTGGGATCGTACGCTACCAACGGTATCTCTTGGCCAACCCATTCTCCATCTAGGTCATCCGGACCCGCAACTTCCGTTGTCACAGACCCTTGGTCATCATGGTCCGAAAGATTGGGGAAAGGCTCATTCTGCGAGTGTTGTGAATTCTGTGAGGGTCGACCATCAAAAGAGAGGGGAGGGCGTGTTGGAGGACGTTCTGGAGATGTCGTATCTGTGTTTGTTGGTTTATCGGCTAGGTCCTCTTCTTCAATGACCTGCGACGGAGCAGTCAATGGCTGCTGCTGCGATGTCGTACTTTGTAAATTTGTCGGCGAAACCAACCCATGTGCTTCCATGAGGTTGTTTTCACGTTGTTGTCTAGCATTTTGAAGTGCGGTTGAGATTCTGGACAATTTGAGGGTTGGTTCAATCCTACCTTGTTCTAAATCCAAATCCGCCTGGGTTTGAGGCTGCTGTTGCTGTTGCTGGGCCATATTGATTTCTGTGCGTGACGGAATCATACCTGGACGTACTACACGGGGTAAAGGCTTGGCCAAACCCCATACTGGCCTTACATTCTCGGGTTGAACATAAGCAGGATTTAGATGGGCGTACCCTGGGTCAACATAGGGCTGATTCTGCATCATGGTTTCAACCGGTGCAGGCCCAGCCAATGTAAAGTTATCTCCGCCTCCAACATCGGCTCCTGAGGTCACGGCTTCTAATGCAACAGTTGGTCTTCTTCGGATGGAGGCTCCTCGTTGACGACTTGTTGTGCTCATGCGTGGGCGAAGACCTGACGCTTGAGTGCGATCGGAAACGCCACTAGGACGAGGTTCTCTCTCGGTAGTAGGAGGAACGGCTCCTCGCTCAGGAATAGAACGCATTCTATCACCGCTTTCTCCCAAAAGAATTGAGGTCCCCCTCCTTAAAACTTGTCTCCTTGAAGATAGATCATTATTTTGAGGCACCTGGCCAGTCAGAGTTCGTCCGCGTCTTCGAGTATCTGGTGAGAGTTGGTTCCGTCGTGTGGGTAGTGTATCAAATCTTTTCAGAGGCTTGACCCCCTGTTCTCCTGTAGATTGTGCTCGGCTGGATCCAGCTACTGGACTTAACTCACGTGGGGTCTCCTCTCTCGTACTAGGTAGATTTGGTAGACTAGTCATTCCATGCTCATGTTCATTATGTTGTCCTCCTCCAGCCTCTATGCTGCTCGTGGGCTTGATCTCTTCGTCCGCCATGGTCTATTACCAATCAAGCTCACCACAGATGAAATCTCAACGTAACGAGTGATTATGCTGTGGCAATCGACTAATGTCGTAAATCGCAAACAAATAGAGTTTTATAACAATAACATTACTAATGAATGCAAAAAGCAGAAGAAAAAAAGGAAATCAAATGAATCCAGATCTGGAGATTGTACGAACCATATGATATTCCAATTTTGCACCGCGGACAGATTTTGGGCCGGCATTTAAACTTTTCACCAAGCTTTCCTGACGCCTCAGCGGGGATCCGCCGTAAATCCACAACTTTGTAGACCGAAAGGGCCTCGAGTGTTATGAGAAAGGGGTCAAGCATCATCGCGAGCGATATTATTCCATGTGAAATTCCACTTTTCTGAGTATTTATGGAACGTTTATGAGCGAAATCTCGGGAGATTCAAGGAATACTGATGTTGTGAGGTGGTAGGTGGAGCTCTTATTTCGTCAGTCATCAAAACCAAAATGTTCTAGGTCACATATGGAATGGTGTTGTCAGGGGACTAGACAAAGATTGTCGAATCACGTGTTGAGATGTTATCTATTTTCGAGATTTGATCGGGAATTCGGAACTTTTGTAGAGGTATAAGGATTGAAAAAGCATCCAAAAGAAAATTTCAGATCTCAACGTCATTTTATTAGTGCTGAGGGTAATATCTATCTCGTTTCTACGATATACCTATGGACGGGAATATTCTTCTAGGTCTCATTGTCCTAAATGAAAGAAAAAAAAACATATTTGACGCGTCTTCTACAGACAAGTCCTTCGTTTCCGAACTGTCCGAACTGGCGAGCAACCGACTGGCTAACAACTCGTTGGTGACCTGAATGTAGATTGTGCATATTGTGAAACATTGGACCTGCGTTAAACAATCCATTCTCGATCCAATCCAAGGCAAAATACCTCGTTACTCGTAACCTGTAGGATCATCACTCTATTTCCTCGTATTCCCGCCCGATAGAGCTCTTCAAGTCAAACCAACCGAGTCGCCAAATTTTCTCGACATTAATTGCGCCCCATAACTCCACGATCAAATGTTCATGGCCTACATCATAGATGCCCTCCAAGTTTTCACGAAACACCCACACTCTTACAGGCCTCTACCAAATCGGGTATCTCGTCAGCACTCTTACTCGCAGCACCCCATTTAATGGTCCCCATCTCATCTGTGGCCCAGCTTCCACCCACCACCCATCGATTCCCACTCGGATCAACCTCTCTTCCCCAATTCCCCTCCTGTTTCCCCAGTTTCTGTCGTGCAATCTCGGTCCATGGATTCAGCAAATGCCACGTCGTGCTTACTCCCAACCCCCAATTGGCATAGATTTCCCGATCTTCATCGACGACTACTTGAACTGACCATGCTCCCCCAACCTGCTGCACCCATTTATCCGTTGCTTCCTTGGAGTTGTGAGATATGGCGATGAAATGTAAGTTTTGGTGTTTATTGGCTAAGCGACGGAGTTCGATGAAGGTCTTTTCTGCAACTGAATGGGAAAGGGTTAGCCTTGAGGCCAGTCTGATGCTCCAAATTTTGATAGACGAGAACGGGTAACACGGCCCATTAAATCACAATACGACGACTAATAAGCAAACTCACAAGCACATCCACAGCACCTCAAAAATACGAGCACGCAAGCCTTTCCATCCTCCATGGGTAATATCAATTTCCCTGTGTTTGGCGCCTTCGTTCCCACTATCGGTGCAGGGGCAACTTCTACTATTGCCGGTGGTGGATTTCCCCATGATTTCCAACTCTTTGGGACATTGACCTCTGAAGTCATGTTTGAGAAAGTGTCTCCCCATGTGGCATTGCTGTTTCCAGACTTAGGATTGATGGATTTCTGGTCGCCATTATCGAGATTTGTGATTGAAAAGTTGGAGAGAGTGTTTGACGGGAGACCTGCTTTTCGAAGGGCAATCTTGGTGGTGAGTTTACTGAACATAGTTTAGATTGATGAAGATGAGGCTGTGGTTGGGTGTCGTAGAGTGGCTAACGACACTATCGTGGTGGTACAAAAATGATACAAACTGGATTGGAAATTACAAGTCAAGAATTGCATGAGGTAGATATACATCCATCCATAAGCCTCGGCCAAATACAGACAAGTGCAAAGAACTCCTTCGTACAAACTCTCAGGCTGGCATGAAACTCAAAGTTGTCGCAGGTCCGCTCAGACCTGGGCGTGTTTGCGTTGATATAATGTCACGTGACATAACCATGTTGTTTCGTTCCTTCAAATTTGTTTATATTGACTTAGTTCATCCGAGGTTTGAAACTATTGGGAAGTACTTTTCAAGCCTACCTAGTCTTGAAAAGTGATTTAACTCACTCAATTAGATGATTGTTCATTGTTCATTGTTACTAGTTTCGATTTATCATGCTTGGCTAGTCACCAACCAGCGTTGTAGCAGCGGTTTTGACGAAAGTGGTTTCATCAGACTCACTTAAGTCTTAAGTCTATTGGATTGAAATAGTTTCTCTTCTCTTTACTAGAAATGTCACTTTCGACAATAAATCTAGAGCGTGTGCTTCGCCCATAAAGCCTGGAACAGAGAGCGGATGCTCCAGCGAAGGTGCTATGGTGAGACCATCAAGGTCATTAGAACGTTAATAGTACTATATGATTATATCGATTAGCTGGCGAACAGGGCGCGAGCGCCTTCTCCCCCAATTGTTGAAGCTCTACTTCAACTTCTTGTTCTCCCCTCCTCTTGCTTTCCATAATCTATACCTCCCAGCCACCTTGTAAAGATATCTGATAGCTACCTACACACACACTCGTGATTTTTATACAGTATTATATTGCGGCAGAATGGTATATGAATCCCTCATCATTGATAAGATTTCCATCAACAACGACATGAGCCAGAGCTTCCAAGCAAAACATTCAAGGTATATCTCAAATTAGCGACCTCAATCTGGCAGCAAATAGGGTGATCTAATCACTTACAGTACTCCAATGACAAACATGATTGAAGCAATTGCAAACTTCCTTTTCCTCTCCATCTTCAAACCCCACAAGCTCCAAATTGCAGCCCCCCAAAGCATGACTTCGTTCAAAAATGGGAAGATTGTCGAGCTAGCAAGCCAAATGTGCCAATACGAAGCACTAATTAACCCGAGACATCTATCAGAAGTTGGCATAAATGTGCGATTCGTTTCCCCATCTTTGTTCACCAGACATGGCTTGCATATCATATCGAGCGTTGCATTGATTGCCAATAGGAGGAATTGATTACACATAAAGATCAAGAAGGAGACGAAGGTAGAAAGTTTGAGTGGAAGATTTATACTGTCGAAATTGCGCACATAGTGGATGTAGATGAGAAATTTCAAGCCGAATATTGGACTAGTGATTGTTGTTACATAGTTGGCGGACTGAATCTTGTGTTAGCATGCAAGAACGATCATTTCTGAGTATACAGTACAGGTATAGACACTGAAACTCTGTCTTGAAATAGATTGCACAATGAATGTGAGTAACAAAAAATGCTTTGGGCCTTTGGCTTACCTGACTCCGCTTAATCATATACTGTTCCTCATTGATGAGTTCTCTGAGTCAAATGAATGATATATATTCGGACAAACCCATTACTATGGGCAGGAGGAGCATCAATCATACCAGTAGATAGAATAATTTATCTTGCCAATATGTATATACGTTAGAAATTTTTCGCTTTTCTCTTTAAATGCCCCCAACGAGTTCAAATAAGGGAAACATACAGTCGCCTGATCCCATGTACATATAATTACATTCAGTAGGGAAGCAGGCGTAAAGGATCAAGCTAGACAATACAATGATTGAAGGCGCTGCATATCCAATCATCTTTATAATTTGTTGATTCATCATCATTTGGAAGGCTATGTTGTGAAACAATGTGGGAATCGCGAAAAGGTGTGAGCCTGACGTATATCTAGGAAATTACACATGTTTTGGTGGGTGAGAAATGGGGGAAAAGATAGTAGGAAAGTTCTTTTTCTTCTGGGAACCTCAAGGATTAAGTAAATGATGCGAATATGATAGTATATGCAAATGATGTAGTGATAGTGATCTAATTGGTCACTCTCTCCGGTGCGTGCATGTAATATCGAAACAGGATTTACTCACAAAAGATCGTGATATTCAGAACCCTTGTGCGGCTCCGCTTGGTCGTGGCATACCAAACTGACTTTGAATCCTTTCTAACATGAAGTAAAGACAAAGAACATATTATTCGAGATTGAATGCTTTAGAGTCCACCATCCCAGTTTCAACAATTATAAACCATTAGTTAATTGTAGACACAGATTTATTTTGGTGTATTATGAAAAGCTACGACTAAACAGAGCCGCGTGCCTTTATATTTTTCAATGGAAAAATTATTCATAATTTCAAACAAAGTATCCATATGTTTTCAACCTTTATACTCTAATACATTCTCTCCTAAAATTAAAATTAAACTCAATAAACATTCAGTGCCTCTCTCAGATTCGCCATCCACATATATGGCTGAGATAGTCCATCACTACTACCCGCATCAAAGTACTCCCATCCATTAACACCTCCAAAATTGGGATATTTGTTTCTCAAACTTTTGATCGTGTTCTTAAGCGTACTGATCGGAACCCATCCACTCGCATCATTTCTTGCAGCCGAAGCCAGCATTACTACTCTTGAGGGATCCCAGCCAGCGCTGACAATAGCGTCATAATCATTTGTGTTTCCTGTGGATCCCCAGCCATTGGTGAACTGAGCATTGTAAAACGATATCATCGGTGTGCCGGTATCTGGATCTCGAGCTTGGGCGTCGAGATCAGAATAAGAAAATCCCGAGAGACTTCCGCCGTGAGATAGAGCTGAAGCTACTGGTGACATAGTTATGTCAAATTCGGGACCCATGTCGGTGTAAAGCTGTTTGATTAGACGAAGAGCAACAGCGATATCCACGAATTGCTCAACGTCAATGTCTATGCCATTGAGATTGTATTTCCTGATGAAATTATTGAGGAGAGGGTCGTAGTATTGGTGAAACTTGAGAAGCATTAGCAATGAATATAGAACAGAGATTATGGGGTGTCAAGCTACATCATCGTCATCTCCAGTAAAATAGTTCCAAGTTCCAGGAGCAGCGCCACCCATCATACATGATACTCTTATCCCTGCTGTCTGAAGAGCCTTTACCTGATCCCATAACTCATCGTACATTGGAGCATCAGGAGGATCGTCATTCAAATGAATAACCCCTGGTGTGCTCATGACATGCAAGGCAGCGAGGATGACGTGGGTTGGTAGGATATCTTCACCCAATAGAGGTAAGAGAGATAGATTCCTGTCTTTGTTGTATTCCTCGTGGTAAGTTTGAACGTACACAGCGAGCCGTGGAATTATGGCTACATCATCACTGGTAGAGTTCTGAGCAACTTGTGGGTCGATTGGAATCGCTTGAATTAGGGGCAAAAGTGAAACGGAAAGCAGGTTAAGAAATTTCATCTTGAAGACTGGGTGATATCATATCAAGCCATTCAATCAATCGAGGAAATCTTCAACCTTTAAGAATACCTTCATATTTACCAAGTGATACTTTTTGCAAACATGTTGGTTTAATTCCGCAGTAATATTGAGCAAGGCTCGTGAGTGACCCCTGTGACTGGAACCATTCATTGGTATCTGTATATTGCCGGCTCTGTCGTTGTATAAGCGCGCAAGAAAACAGAAAGAAATCTATCCCCTCCATCGATAGAATGAAATATTAAATATGAAAATCATCAAATGACTTCCATAGGATACTTCCTATAGATTAAATCGCACAAATGGAGATTTTAATTGAGCCATGAGGAGAAAATCAGGTGTTACCAAGTCTTCCCTTGGTCATCAAAAGTTGCACCCGATGTCCAAATATCGAGGCATAACGAGTGAATAAAGCAAACGAAGTGAACAGCATGACTGACTAAGCCGAGCTGTTTCCACAAGATCCCCCGAGACTAAAAAGCATGTGTGAGATAAGGTTGCATTTTCGGGGTTCTGGGCGTTATTTGAGGCCGGCGCTTGCTAGGTGGATACTACCATGCCCTCCTTACTCTTTTGGGACTGTACAAAAAGTTCGCGCTTGAGAGAAATGCACGAGAGTGCACAAACTAGTCTCATGCTTCTGTCGCATGTTGGAGATCACTCGTTGGAAAAGACTGTTTTTGATAGGGTTTTGATAGTTGCACCGCCTGATATACACTTTTAGGAAGAATGATCGCTTTTTCGGGATGTACTATCATAGGAAATGCTTGGCAAGGCGCTCATGTGTTGCCTTTGTCTCCTGTTACAACGACACTAGGGCACAGATCCAATTTAGTAGCACAAAAACAAAATAATGGAAAGATCTAACACGTTGGTATTGAGGTCCCAGAGCAAACAGTTGCTAGATGGGAGAACTTGAGCTTGTCGTCAGAGGGGCTTTCATTGGGGATAGGCGGTTGCTCATCATCAGAACATTCAAAAACTGCAACCATATGCTAATGTGATGAATGAATGAAGTTGGTCTTGATCGCTCGAATGAACCGTAAGTTGACAATGAAAGGTGCCAACACATTTCATCTTGTCTCGCAAATACCGTCCGATAATTGCTACAACCAACGGTGACAACACAACAAAAATGGTCCTTCTCATGGTACGAGTCTGCCATGCACAGCTTGATAGATTATCAGAAAGAATAATTTGCATGAACATGAGATTTTATCCTTTGATAGGTGAAAATGGTGAAGAGGAAGAAAGAGAGAAAGAATGATCTCCGTAAACTACCCAACGCTAAAGCTTCGACCAAGCTTCCCGCATCACAACTACAATCGACTACGTCAAGAACTACATTAGGACTTTTATATCAAAAAGTATTTGATCCAAGACAACCTCCGATTTTTATTTTTGGACTTTTCAATTCTGCATATTTACCTTTGATTCCTGAATCTAATGTCAAAATGTCAATTGATAACGCAAAAGTCTTAAAAACAGAGCCATTGGTAGAGTATTCCCTTCATATACTCCGAATGCCTAAAACCATTGAAATTCTGACTCCATAGCAGGACCCTGCCAAAGCAAAATGGACAAAACTCGTGTTGTACGTGTTGATCTGCTTAATCTAAGCTAAACCATTGTAGCTGATACATTTACAAATATTCAGGTCAACGTATCGCGATCCTCGAGGAAAAGTTCGTGATTGGGAACATGCGGAACGATCTACTCGACCGAAGTCATCTGAGATAGACGGTGTTGGAATTGTCGCCATAATACAGAAAGAGACCGGTATGTAAGGTCATCTGGATCAAACTACACTTGGGTAAAAAATAAAAATGTTGATACCAGTGGAACTCAGGCCCGGAATTAGTTTTACAGAAGCAATACCGACCACCGTTGGATAAATTAGTGATCGAAGTACCCGCCGGACTTATCGATGAGGGGGAAACTGCAGAAGAAGCAGCTTTAAGAGAATTGAAAGAAGAGACCGGTTATGTTGGAGTCTTGAGTGAGAGTACACCCATAATGTTTAATGGTAACCCCCTCATATTTTGCTGTCACTCACATAGAAATCCCCACTAATGGATGTTCTCACAGATCCTGGATTCTGCAATACAAACCTCAAGATGGTGCATGTTACGGTTGATATGTCTAATCCAGCCAACCAGAATCTAGTGCCCGAACTCGAAGAGAACGAATTTATTGAAGTATTCACTTTACCTCTGAAGGATTTATGGGAGACGTGTAAAAAATGGGAGAAAGAAGGATATGCGATAGACGCCCGGGTAGGAACTTTGGCTGAGGGAATTGAAGTTGCCAGGACGCTGAATTTATTTTCAAAATAAAGTACGAGCACGATGTTATGATAGATAGATGAATATAATAATAACGTCCGGTACATGTAGTGTAACATGTGTAGGAATGCTGCTCAGGTCCATGGGTATTCAAGGTAATGTCATTTAATTCGGAAGCTATTGTTCGTGCATGTGATTCTGAAGTTTCATAGCTTTCCTGTTCGCTTTAACCCATCGTAGAGAGCCCAAGCGGTCAAAGCCTTACTGTCCCTTGCACCCTCCTTCCACAAATCCTCCAGTTTCACCAGTTTAAGTGTAATCTTCTCACCCTCGTCTCTCAACCCCGTAAGCTTCCCTGTGGTCTCCTTCAACTCCTCTCTTGAGATCTTCTTCTCATGCAAGAAGACTTGGATATACTCATCACAGCCCCCGGCACTAGGAAACATTGCCCTCGGTAACACTTCTCCCTCTTTGTTCGCTCCATCACCAATAGCCAGTTCGCTCAAGTTGGTCAATTGATCTGCCGGTATTGTCCAGCCCAGCTCCTCTTCAATTTCCTTCGCAGCTGCACCTTTGAACGTTCCATCATCAACCATGCCGGCTGGTAATTCAATAAATGCTAAACTCCCTGAAGCAGGTCGAGGTTGAACAGTCATCACAACCCATCTTTCCTCGTCAGGTTTTTTTGCGTCATCAGGTTGAACAATGACCATCATTCCAACACTTGGGCCTCTGAGGAAGATGTCCCCGGGCAGAGACTCGCCTGCTTCATTCGTGATTTTGCTGCTGATCTTGATAAAACCGATGCGCTTGCCCCAGCGGTCGAGTGATTGGATTTTAACAGAGCGGAGCTGATAGGGATCGGAATGGAAGGGATGATCAGAGGATTTGCCTTGTAGAGCGAGAGATTCAGTTAGGCGATTATGCCATGACTATGAAGGAAGATAATGTTAGTAAATATCGCAGGGAGGAGTAATGGAAAGAGGAGGACAGTGATGTATACTTTAAAGGCTGGAAAATTCAATAGTTCATCCTTGGTGATACCTTCACAAAGTGTAACCTCTACGTTACTGTCTTGGATTTGAAAGGTAGACATTCTGATAGCAGTAGTTCGGTATCCTCTATGATAGAATCTAGAGAACGGTGGAAATAGCCTTGTGAGGATGAGTGATGTAATTGAGGATTTCAAGGTGGTTTTATGCATAGGTTACGGAGTACAACCTTTGTACTTTGTAGCTACTAGTAGTACGGAAGTAAACCGATTCATTACTACAAAATCTGCCGAACATATTGGGTGAAATGGAATAATCGATGATGCCCAAGCAAGGAAAGAGGTAGTAGAATTGATGTACCTCATAGGTGGTAGGGAGGTCCACGGGTAGCCTTGCAGCCTCCCCATGCGCCACCGAGGCTGTGGCTGTGCCGTGACCTAACATCCCCGCCCCGCCATGGATGACCTCGGATCCTCTTCAATTAATATTTTACCTTCATACTACCTAGGTACCTATAGCAGCTACACAGCATTTCCAAATCATATTAATACTACTTTGTGTCTTATAGCGCTATCATATTGATGCCAGGACTCAAAATATACAGCAAAACTAAATCCAATAATGATTGGATAACCATCGCCTCCCTCACACCTACACACACTGTGAAAATTCCGCAACTCCTCAATGTTCCCAACTATTGGACCCACCAGCCTCGCCGCTTCAATCGTGCGGTCAAGTATGGCCAAGTCCAACGATGAAGGGGTGGCCTTCGCTTGTATTACCTCAGTGCCATAGTTGGCCACTTGTTGGTTTAATATCGTTGCCGCGTGGGCCAACATTAATTCCTATTATTATAGTAGCTGCTTCGCTTTTTAAAAGCCAATTCCGAGAGCTCAAGCGCGGAAGCCAGATGATATGATGTAGTTCAGGTTTGATTTAAGACCGGAGGATTGATTTTTTTGTGATTCGAGGCTGAAGCTCCCAAGACAACAGTTGCTGATGTTGGTGCATCGCAATGTAGTTTGAAGGCGGCATGGGCGGCGCAAGTGTCTCATCTTATCATAAACACACCTTAATCTTCCATTTTCTTTCTTTATTTTCTTAGGTTTGGTTGTTTTATTCATTTTCATTCTAGCAAATTTGTTGTATTTCATAATGGCTGCATCACAGACTCCAAAGTCACGAGCAGTATCATTGGTTTTAGCATCACTCTTTATTCCTCTTGCATCAGCAGGTTCTAATGCAATATCTCTTCAATGGTCAGACAGAAGTTATGGCCCTGACGGACCATGGCAAGCAGTTTCTATTGATATCGGCACACCCACTCAAGCTATTGACCTCCTTCCAGGTGGGACATGGACAGCTAATATCCTAAGCACTTCAATTTGTTCTAATTCTTCAGGTTGCTCATCATCGAAAGCTGGACTTTTTGATAGGCATGCTTCCACTTCCTACACTCAAATCAATAATACTGGTGTCATTGCCAATACCACAATCGCAAACCGGGCCGGTGCATTACCCAATTTATCTGGCACCGCTTACATAGGACTTGATACCTTGACAATTTCCAATGGAACTGAAAGCAACACTATCGAGAACTTTGAACTGCTTGTCATTGAGAATGCTGTCCAAACTCTATCAAATGGAACAGCATACGCACCTCAAGTCGGGACCCTTGCCCTAGGTGCCCCAGCCATTAATCAGACACTCTCTTCAAATATTACCGGGCAGTTTCTCTCCTCTGGTTTATACTCCCAGGCTAGGATTCCGTCGAATTCGTTTGGATTGCACATTGGCTCTGCTTCGGTGGGTATTCCTGGAAGTTTGGTACTTGGTGGATACGATCAATCTCGAGTTTTGGCGCCTGTCACTACGCAAAAGGGCTACAATGGTACATTTTCTGTGTCACTAGTTGACATTTCAATCGGTACTATTGATGGATACTCTCCTTTGAACTTCAATACCACTAAATCTGGACTTCTCTTCAATAATGCAACTTTCGCCGCATCTAATGGCTCACTAGCAGTGAACGTCGATCCTTCAGTTCCACATCTCTACCTCCCGACATCAACTTGCGGCATACTTGCCTCTTTCCTCCCCATAACATACAACGAAAATCTAGACCTTTACCTCTGGAACACTACATCTCCACTCTACAAGCCCATCATCTCATCGCCTACCTACCTTGCCTTCACATTCTCTAACCCAGACTCAGACAATCAGAATACTCAAACCTCAATCAAAATTCCCTTCTCCCTCCTTTCACTTTCGTTAACATCCCCCCTATCTAACACTTCTGATTCCGTTCCCTATTTCCCCTGCCAACCATCCTCACTCCCCTCCGGCTCTTGGGCTCTCGGCCGTGCATTTCTCCAAGCTGCTTTCTTAGGAACCATCTGGACTGACTCATCCAATATCTCTTCTTCCCAAAACACTGCATTTTTTCTAGCTCAAGCGCCGGGTCCTGATGTTCACGATGAGGAATTAGTTAACCTTCAGCCTGATTCTACTTCCCTCGATACCTCAACAACCACATGGAAAGACACCTGGTCGTCTCATTGGACGCCCCTCACCACCCCTATAGATCTTTCCTCGCCCCAGTCCCCCACCTCATCGTCTTCATCTTCGTCTTCTAGCACAGGACTACCTACTGCGCAGATGATAGGAATCTCCGTTGGCAGCGCCACGGTTTTTATTTTTATTTTGTCAGTAATTTTCTGGATTTGTAAACGCAAGGCCAACATAGCGCGAGCAAACAAAGAAAAAGAAAAGGAAGAGGCGATTTCACGGGAAATGGAAAAGAAAGAGAGGGAGAGACAGGGTATCGACTTGGGCTGGATTAAGTTGGAAGATGATCCTTGACTTATACAATGGACTTGTACTAGGGAATATAATGGAAATATAATAGGAGTTTTAGGTTTAGCATTGAGATTACGATACTGTCATTATAATAAAGCTGGTTAGTGTTTGACTGCAGACCATATCTTCTCAGCTGTTCGGTTGCATGTCAATCAGTGTGTGGTGCTAGCCAAAGTAGAACTTATGAGATGCAGAGTGCTTTATTTACATGGTTGGTGATACGTTTCAACCTTATAAGATTGTAATTTTGCATTTTATACATTCATCTTCCCATCCACGCCTCCCCACTCGATATTAGATAGAGCATCCCAGCGACAAGTGCTTGATAAAATCTACCACGGCACAGCCTTTGGTCCCGTAACATCCCGCCACTGCCCATCCGTCTTCACTTGTTCCTTCCTCGTCTCCCTATCCTCTCTTTCAAGCCTATCCGCCTCCTCCTCAACTTTCCTCTCCCACCTCTTCCCCATCTTCGTCTTACTAAATCCCCATTTCCCTACCCACCACAAACTACTCATTCCCAAAACTCCTATGACTCCTGTAGGCGCAACAACCCATCCTATCCCCGTCGCAAAACTTCCAATGGTAGTAGCAGATAGCGCTGCGACGACAGAACCCACAGCTGCGTACTTGGCATACCGGATAACACGCCAGAATATAAAGACAGTTATGGAGTGAAGAGCCCGAAGAAGAGCGCGGGTACGAAATCGAACGGGTTTTGGGGAGGTAGGAGAGCCGGGAGAGATAAGATATTGGATGTTTTGGGTGATAGAGGTGAGAGCGCTGGAACTGCGAAGTTGAGCTGTTCGTTCTGTTGCAGTGAGGGACTGAGATTGAGGCGAGGTAGATGGGGATGTAGGTTCATCAATTGTATTACCCCTTAAAGGCGACATGCTTGCGGCTATTTCATAGGGGTGTTTTTTTGTTGATTGTATTTACATTGAAAATATAGCCTTTTGTCGTACAAACAAATTATTTGTGCTACGTCATTGGTGGTTAGGTTGGTGGTCTGTGCGTTTGCGACCTCCTTCCTTAACCTCACCTCCAATCCTTCTTACTCTACATGCTCCTTGCGATAATATCTCATAATTACCTGGATCTGTTTATTGCTCTGCATGATATCAATTCTCCGACAATGCAAGCAAGACTGAGCATCACAGACCAGTGCGAGTATAGGCTGGAAGATTCTTCAAATCCAAGAGTCTATAGCTAGGAAGATGAGACCACCGGCTGCGGTCAACGATGGAAATGGCGGGAATCTGTTTGGACTACGCGGCGAGTAGAGTATCCAGTGATGCAAAAATTTGTTGCTATTATGCTGTCTGTACTCCACGGTAAATGCAGGTTAGAGAAGACTGGGCGGTTGACAAATCGCCATCTACTTGTCTTATGAGCTTTGAAGAGCGCTGCATTAACTTTCAGTTGATTCTCGCAAAGCTTATTGAGCTGTCATATGCCAATGTCCGGACCTTCGAACTCTGTAAAGCTCTAGACCATTGTGAATCCTATACGATTGCATACATCAGACGAAAGGGAGCCAAGAAACAAGACATGCGGAGCACTGACAAGAAGAAGGCCGCTGGTAGAACTTGATGAAAGACGGACTATGTATCCATGTTTTCACAAACAATGAGAAACGGGGCATTCTTGCTCGGTATGAGACTTCGAGTTTGAGAAACTGCATCTCTCTTTATGCTCTTGTTTCCGTGTGGTCTCATGTGCGTACACAGAATTGCGAGGAAACTATTTACGGATTATAGTTGGACTGCGGCCATGACTGCATTCCCAACAATACGGTTGTTGGTTGACATTACGACCGTGATTTGCAGTACGGTTCATGACACCAAGGCTATACAATCACCTTCTAAACTTTCAGGATATCTCACTTAAATCATATGCAAAGTGCAATGAAAGACGTTATTCTTGCCAGCACAAAGATGTCTGAAGCCGATCATTCAACTCGCAGGCCACAGCAAAACTCAGAGCATACCAACAAAAACACAGGCTCGGACGTCTCACAAATGCCTCCAAAGAATGATAGTTTACATCGGCTAACCCAAAGCTCACGGTCAAGCGAACAATTCCTCTTGAGGTCTCGGGAGCGTGAAGTCGAACAAGCCCATGAGGAAAATTTGACAGGGTGTATGTGCCTCGTTCTCGCAAAAGTTCCGCATTTTCACTGGTCAAAGTATTAATTTTTGGTTCTCCATTCATGCATTTGCTAAATTTTGCAAGAAAAAAAGAGCAAAGGCTGGCGGGGGATCAATTTGCATACGATCTCTGGCATAGACCACGGGAGGAACTCGACGAATCACCCGTACAAAAGGGATGTCCCTGTTGTAAAAGTTTTTGCAAATGCCCTAGGGCATGGAGACAGTGGCTTGGATGGGGTGGCAATTGAGAATTTTTGCTGGTTATAGTACCTATTTATACTGTTTCCAATAGCATGGTAAATTACAAAGCAACTACTTGAGATTGATCTTGAGAGACGGAGCGGCGGAGCGGAAAAGTGTGCGTTACGCGGAACAGCTACGTACTTGAGGATTGGCCCAAGCAATACCCTCGGAAGAAGTTGTCAAATACACATACAATGCTCGTCTAACTTGGGCGTCATGCATGGTGTGAATACAGTTTGTTCCTAAATTTAGCACTCCTGTATGATAGATTGATAGTTGATAGAAATCAACTATGTGGAAAAAAGATGATCGGAGATCAACCGTCAGGTGAACACAGTCAAAACAACTTGAAACCTGTACCCTGTGCGTTGTTATTTGTACAGCACGCATACAATTCATATCTCATCAGGAGCCAATTAACGGCTCGGGACCCAAGCCTCTTTACACTCTAGTCCAATCACCGTTTACCCACTGGGTCCCTTTCTTTAGCGAGTGGACCACGTATATAAACAGCATCCCCTTGCAACAAAATCTTCTGGAAAACTGAAACTGCGCAACAACAATTTCGACACAATGCATTCTTCTCAGCTATCCATAGTCAATCACTCAAGTGTTAAATCATGACGCATACAACTCATAAATTCCACGATGTTCGCTCTCAGATTCAGAAGTGCGGGGAAAGAACACCTGACAGGCAAGGGATGCACGGAACTTATTCACATACTTTCCCCGCACATGATTTACCACCACCTTGACAATCCACTCATCCCATGGGCATGATTCCAGGAGTCGACCATTTTGCGACAGCAACGACGACGACGATATGGCAAAATCATGACACGAGTATGGGATTCAAGGAGCTCCGGAGAGCGTCGCCATGTTCATCGCTACGCCAGCTGTACATCGAATCTCAGCGCGGGAACTGCGGAGATAGGTATACACCAACTTTACGTCGTGTCAAGAGTTTTTACAATCCACCTAAGGACTTTGCGCTTGTTTTTGCAATGTCGCTTTTGAATCATAAAGATTCGATGGTCGAGGTAAAAATTGATACGTCAAATTTCGTGATTACAGTTGAGATACCATTGCGAATACACAATCCTTACCAGTCAGTGCCGATGGGGAAAATTCTAGAAAGGGAGGAATTAGAGTGTCCGGAATGCGGTAGAGAATTTATGGGGGAGTACGGAGTGGAGGATCTGGCGTGGCATTTCAATAATGTGCATTGGAAGAGGAGGGTTGAGAGAAAAAAATGCTTGAGTATGGGTTAGGAGACTGGTAAAACAAATCGACTATTGCAAAAGGTTATAGAACCATGGATTCCAGAATACCTTGGATCGAGATTGAAATTGATAATCAGAGTTTCTTTACGGTTTCTACTATCCGGAACCTTGACCTTTAGAGTCAGTCTACTTCTCCCCACAAGGATAGAAGGCACGAACGTTCGTCCTTCGCACCTGTCTGTCATCAATGAAAGTAATTCAGAAACGCTGACTGGCCGCCCTAAACTCGTTCACTTCACACCAGCTCAAACGTATGCATATTGACTACATTAATATAGTTTTAATAGTTTGAGCTCGATTGTATTACTTTGGATATCGAATATTGAGCAGTGTATCCTTTCTTACACAAAAGTACCGCTCCTTGAGAGACATGGATCTTGCCGAAGACAGCCCATATACGACCATGGACGGGAATGCCGCATCTGCTCCTGATGAAAAAGAAATGCAGCATCGGTCAAATTCTGGTGGAATGATGGATGGTATTATGGGTAAAGATAGGCTAGATGAGGATGTCTCTGAAGAACGATGCAGCCGTTCAGGCTGTCCCAGTCGATTCAAAAAAGACGGTTTCAATTGCAAGGAATGCCAGTCGCAGATATATTGCAGTATGTATTTCTGTGATTAGCCAAACACCGAAAACTGAACATCTTTAGGTAACGTATGCGCAGAGAGACATTGGCCGGAACACAAACTTACTTGCGAGTGTCTTAATTATGTTCTGAGCATCGACATGTGTTTCGAGAGATATCGCAACAATCGGCCTGGTTGTATCATGTCCTGTCCAGCAAGAGCCACCTTTGAGGACTTTTACCAAGCACTCAGCATCTCCTTGCCTTGTCTTGAACCTGTATACCGCTTTTACATCTTTGACAGGGGCCAGATAAATGCTGCGATTAGCCATTATCCACGACCTGAAAAGATTATTACGAGACCGGGATCAAGCTCTAGTGTATTAGATTATCGCCCTGATCTACGACAATTACTAGGACAGTCAACGGATATGCCTTATTGATGTTTTATGCAAACATCCATATGAACAGAGCCAAAAGATTATTCATTACATATGTCATAACCGCAGAATTCAGAAGACCTGGCAGTATATGACCTTATTCATGGACAGAGCACCAATTTCTCCATTTCTGCTTATGTGGAGTGGTGCCTTTCGATGTATAGAGGATTATGGCAAAGGCCAAAATTTTATGACCTTGAGACTTGCATATGAAGCTTCTGAACCGACACAAGAACAGAGAGAATTGCTCTCTTGGTACGAATCAATCAAAGCCTCGAAGGCTACCAGAGAAGGAATCAACCAAACTCTGAGCCGTATCCGAACTTCCACCCGTCCCTCTTATACCCATTCTTCCCATACCGAAGCAGAAGGCTTTTTCTAGTTGAAAATTATGATTCGATCCAGAACAAATGGAAGAGAAGTATTAAAGTTTCAATTTAACTTGGTGAGGAGGGGGCGAGAGAAAGACTATGCAAATTAAGCCTGTGACGGTGATAGGTACAAGGTCTATTATGTATATATAGTATATGCAAACTTCAGAGGAGTAAGAGCATTTGGCATAAGTCAATACACACAACTCAATAAAATGATTCTATCCCATTATTACGTCTCGCTTTAAATCTTGCCTCGAAAGTGGATTGCTGGTTGTTTGATTGTCCACTTGGTAATTCAACATCGCCAAATCTCATCAGAGCTGTAGAGCGGGGTTGGTGAGGACGGTGTATATCCTAAGGGCAACGATACGAATACTCACCAGATACAGGCATTCGCTCATGTAAGTCGCCGAGCGCTTTCACCGACTTGTATTACTTGCAGTACTGATTCATGTAAATAGTTATACGCACCGTCCTATTCGAAGTTACTAAGGAAATGGTTGAAGTCCAGAGAAAGAAGAGCTCCTCAAGAACTATCAAAGTGCACATCCTGTACAACGAGTGCGAAGCCCAGGTACGCAAACGATTCTTAGTATTCACTGTGACCTGCACCAATTTATTCACTGATATGAAATCCCATTTGAGAGACGATACTGACTTCCCAAATTAAAACAGTTCAATATGGGTCAGTGGGAGTCCACTCCTAACGAGATTGAATTACGAAAGGAAGAGCAGATGGCGAGATGTGTGAAGGATAACACCACCGAAGTTACATACTGATTATGTACTCAGGATAGAAACACCATTCGCAAATCAGATGTCAAAAATTTAACCAAAAATTATTTCCGTTTCTCGTCATGCGCTGTCATATTATGTCAAATGTCTTAAATTGAGGCTAATATTACACAGTCAATATGCCAGTATAGCTCTTACTGTCTGTTTATTATAAAGTCATATGGTATCAGTTGAAACTGTTGTTACATGAACTTTAGAGCTGTAGCGGAATCTTCATCTTTGAACAGAAGGAGTCAAGCATAAATTATTCAACGGATATTATGGTGATTCTTCTGTATTCCTGAACCCGGTATCCCACTTGAACAACTTGATGAGGTGTGTGTACACTTACTATTAGCAGTTCCCCATCAATGAATACGATATCTGAAGAAATACATGCTCTGAGAAAATGGTTAGACGTCTCGCAAATACCATTTGTTGATAGAATGACATGATTCATTTGATCTTTGAATGTGTTACTTTCCCACAGAGAGATATTCCTCACTAAGAAGGACGATTGGGCGGTTTCTCTGATATAGAATATTTGAGATACCACGGGTCTGTCGTCGTACGTGATGGTGTGCACACTATAGAGATTAAATTGCCATTCTTGACTGTGTGATCAGGCACATATCTAAGACGAGATTGGTTGACGATGGTGCAAAATGCGTGTGGTTAATGACGAGGCCAGCGAGCACAAGAGCTCCACTATAGATAGATGAAGCCTATATAAGAATTAGTCTTTCCCAACCCAATTCATATAATATAGTCTCTTCTACGAATCACTTCAATATGAGCAATCAAAAGGCCGAAGAGGCGGTCAAGCAACCATTAAGTGACAACGACATCAGTCGATTTCTTCGTAAACCAGATTATCAGAGATCAAAGTGGGCGCGCGATCACGATCAATAATATCAATGCAATTAATATCTCTACCAGAGTAGAAGCCGTCATACACGCCAAGGCAAAAAATGGCGGCTTGCCTAAGGACGAATCGTTGGAGTCCAACTTCGAGCACAGTTCGTATCGAGTGAAAGTCTTTGATGATTCACTTGAGAGCTCCCCATGGTAAAGTCTCCATCTTTGGATCGGGGACAAGTATCGACTAATAAATCTTCCCAGGTTCGTGGAAGATGACGCGTCGAGCCAATTGCCATAATATCTCCCAATCACTGACTTCTATGAAGATAAAGCGATTTCCATGAAGAGATGCATAAAGTCCTGACAAATTTCACATACACAGACAGCGTACCGGTAAGATTGAAGAGAACTGCCAAAACTATTGCTAAGATCCCCGCTATCACTAGGGAGTCAAATCCTGCCACTAAGAGGTTTTGGGTGTTGATAACCGATATGGGGACGGCTATATTATTTCGACCCGGTGCGTATGCAATCACCAGTTCTTGTCCTTTACCGCTTCAACGGCTTTTAGCTCTTGAGGCCCATTGATCTGTGTTTGACGTGTATCGTTCGAACTCGGAAATGTTAGATCGGCATTTGTACTACTTGTACTCCTACTGCCACATGTACTGACATCTATCATTGAGAGCTGAGGGTTGCGAATTGAAATTTCCAAAAAAAAAAAAAGGATATAATAATGATGATGATAATACCAATGCTTGCCATTGCCAGGTTTCGTCAAAAATGGTTTTGATTAAACTACGGCCAACGTGATGTTAGCAGTCCAGAGTAGCCAGGTACCAAGACCAATCGACTAGAGAAAGGTTTCGCATCCTTTAAGATTCAAAACAGACTCTGTCAACCCAAAATAATAGTGAACATCTATAGTGACGGCCCAAGATCCCAGATTCAATGAACTCCCGTTTAAACTGATTGCAGAACGAGATGCTACCCGCTGTAGTCAGACAGTCAGATAGCATACCATAGTTATTAGCTAGAAAGAGAGAACGTTATGGATGACATGATCTTGTAGATATTGGACGTGCTAAGAACTTGGGTAGCACGGTAGTCTTCAGAAGCAATTTATTAAGAGAGATTTTCTTTTATCAAAGCTTTGAAACAGAACCGATTTTGGGGGAATTTTCTCGCAGGCGAAAATCGAAAACAGGGACTCGGATACAAAGAGTTCCGATTGGTTGAAAATACGATTTGACAAACGAGGTCTAGCCAACACAAATGTAAGCGACGTTCCGATCTCATCACGTGTTGAGCAGAACGGCTCGGATTCGTTTACCGAGCTTGTTGATAGGTTGAGATAAGAGAAAGAACGGATACTTGTAACCGCTTACAATACCTAGATGTGAGAAATGAAATTTGCTGGCCGAGCTGCCTAGCAAGCCCGACAAGGCGAAACATGAAGTCTTTATTTTGATTCATGCCTTGTAACGACATGTAACGGTTGATATTTGGAGGAGCGAAATAGCTTTATAATAGCTGATCATCAGCTTTAAAAAAACTCTGAAGCATTTTTTTCGCTGAGATTCTTCTTCAAATCTGAATGAGAGAAGACTCTACCACTCCAACCAAAAACAGAGACGGAGTAGATGCCGCTATTCCCATTGCGCTAGTCAGGACTGAGTAAAACTTGACGATCGGACCTAGGCTGCTCCGAAATCCCATCTCATTCCTCCACTTACAAACATGGGCTTGTTCCCTCAACAAAGCGACTGCAGCGCTGTCTACAATCCAGTTAATATATAGAAATGCTGACAATTCCCACGTAAGTTTCTTCTCTCTTTTACCGTCTTTCTGCCAATTTAAGGTAAATTCATCTCTTTCACACATCTGATATCATTTTTGCCTACAAACGGAAACGGGAATCGTTTTCACGCCGTGTAAGATTTTCTTACACATCACTTTCGCCGCACCCTTACGTCTTACTTTTTTCCTCGTATATCATATTTTCAGCCTTTCACTTGTTGAGTCAGTCTCTCGACACTCTTTATCTTCTGGATTTCTATTATCTCATAAACTGAGGGACAGCCTTTATCGACACTTTATTCTCACATCATCGCCACCATGAATTCCCTTCTTATGCTTCTCCCTCGAAACAAACTGGATAGATTCGCGGATTGCACAGTCGACACATGTCCGATCTCTACATCCTATTATTTCTATCGTGTATCAATCGGCGCAAATGCGGCTTTTCTCGCTCTTTTTAGCATTTCATTCCTTGGATTTGTCTTTACATATGCATTCACTCGTCGCGCAACCGCCTTCACATTCGCTATGTGCGCCGGTGTTATACTTGAAGTAATCGGCTATGCGGGTCGTATAATGAGTTGGGAGAATCAATGGAAACAAGATGGATTTTTAATGCAGATTGTTTGCTTAACAATCGCACCGGCATTTATGGCGGGAGGAATCTATTTGTGCTTGAGAAGAATTGTATATGCTTTCGGACCGGAAAATTCAAGGATTAGTCCTGAAGCTTATACCAGAATTGTATGTTCTTGACACATTTTCACCATTCGTCTTTTCACATCAGCCTAATACTAATTATTCCATAGTTCATTCCATGTGATCTTATGTCACTTCTCCTGCAAGCTGCAGGTGGTGGTTTGGCATCCGCAGCTTCACACTCAGGCAAATCCCCAGATACTGGAGATAACATCATGGTAGCTGGTCTCGCGTTCCAAGTTTTCACGCTATTCATTTTCATGATCCTCTGCGTCGACTTTGCATTACGCACACGTTCCCGATACCGCTCCCTCGGTAACGCCGCATTCGATCAAAATCCCGCTTTCATAACACTTCGCTCTTCTAAAGGCTTTAAGGGGTTTTTAATCGCTCTTGCCCTTGCTACGATTTGTATCTTCTGGAGATCTGTATACAGGGTCGCGGAATTGGCAGAAGGATGGACTGGGAATCTTATCAAGAAACAAAATCTATTCATCGGATTTGAAGGGGTTATGGTTATTGTGGCTTGCTTCACTCTAAACTTGTTTAACCCTGCCATTACCTTCAAGGAAGCAATGACCGGGTTGGGTGGTTTAGGCACGAAGAAGAAGATGAAGAAGGCAGGAGAAAAGACTAGCGATGGGGTTAGTGCCAGTAACAGCGATCTTGAGGCTGTTAAGGTAGCTCCTGTTTAGATTGTGTGTGCGACTTGACTTAGCAACAGTTTTGGAAATGTTTTACGAATATAATCTCATAGCATTTTACAAGCGTTTATAGTTTTCTTTTAGATATCCTACATATAGTCGAAATATATTTAAATTTATTGAGTGCTTTTAGTCTCTTGGCAATGCATTGGTGGTTCTGCATGATCGTGGTCAAGTCGACTGCTTGTCGCGGGCTTGTTTTCCGATTTGATGGCGAGGGACTGACATCCCCTTTTCTGTGCGCTCTTACACTATCTGATGCACTGGCTCCATTTGAAATGAATTCGATTCACTGGAATCTCTGTCCCTTGAACATCGGTGAATGTTCTGACTCGCCTATTTGCTTCATCTCTGACACCGTTATTCACTGTGGTCAAGCAAGCTACTTGTTTGTTATTTTTTTTGCGGCAATTATAGACGTTGCTTTTCTACAGCAAAATACTACGACAGAAAGTTGAGAACTATTTCTCAAGGGATATATACAGGCTCGCCTAAACCCGTATTGAATCTATCTCTTATTGCTGAGAGAAGGTTTCGTGCGAATCTTCTCACTTTAGGTAATGCATCATTCTATCAACGCGCTTCGTTCCTCATCGGTCTTCCAGCAAAATTCTTCTTTTCGGGCAATCTTTGACTAAAATACCTGCCGTGAAATGCTTCCGACGTCCGATGAAGATATACCCATGTTGGCGGTTTCAAAAAATACCATGAACCCGAAGGCCATAATGCATACACGGCTTTCAATATTAGCCGATCGTCCAATATCTATAATTCGACAGAACTCTTTACAAAACCTCCATCAGCTTGTCGTAATCATAGTCTGGCTAGGGGTATCGAAGATTTGGCTGCGAATATTACCATCAGCATATTCAACGAACCCAAACTTCTGTAAGTTCGCCGCGACATCAAGTACACACATCATCAAGTATCTCGGAGCTAACATTACTTTAGTAAGCAAAATGCAACAAATGTTCCAGTTACTTCTCGAATTCTACCAACGTCTTCTCGTATTCCCCGAAAGATCATTACCTCTCATATGGCATCGCATTTTTCTTCATTTGTCTTAGTACAATCCTTGGTTTACACGCTTTCTACACTAATGGTGTTGTTCACAGCACAGCACTGTCGGTCATTATAGCCACGACGAGGAACCCGGATCTCGATATTCTTGCCGGTGAGAATTTGGTAGCTAACGCATCATTGAGTAAGAATATTAGAAATGTAAAGTCAAGGTTGGGCGTGATGAGGGGGGAAAGACCAGGGGAGGAGAGAGTGGCGTTGGTTAGACCCGAAGAAGTGAGGGAATTGAAAAAGGGATGGGTTTTGGACCCGGGCGGGCTACTTGCGTGCAATGTGTTATAGATGATATTCTTTTTATTATACCGATAGTCTCGAGCAACGAAAGTAAACCTGCTTTTGAGTTCTGTTAAATGGAGATTGTTTTCCGAAAGAAAGACAAATTATCACCTGCAATGCAGCTTATTCATGCTTTACACGACGATTAAGAAGATTTGAAGGGAATGCATATTCCTCATCATAGAGCAAGAGAAGATCATTGATTTTACGATAGTTGTGTAGTATCCCGAAATTTGAGCCGCGACATAAACGTTTATCACCGGCGGTTACTCCTAAATATGGAAGAGCAGTAAGACCTGATACTTTACTTTATTGCAATTCTTAATATACCTTAAAACAAGAGTCAATAATTTATTTTCCGAGTCGATCTTAAAAATGACGTGTCTATCAGATCGGTGCGAGCAATGTAATCAGTACCACTCAATCTCACAGAAAATAATGTACTCTATGCAAATGACAATCACGATTGACGTATTTATGTATTTTGGCTCGGACAATCACCATTTGAAATACAATTTTTCATGCCAATGGCAACGAGAAATAATAATTGTTCTCATTCAAGGCCTGATTTTTATCGTCCAAATTCACTTCCAGCAATCTATCAGACCAAATTCCTACTGGTGAAGTATGATTCCGCATCTACAACGTTGTCTCATGTCTCGTGACAATCACGAATTGTCTTTGCAGAACAAGGATCACCTCAGTCTTGGTAGCAACTTTGACCTCACATTGAGGTTGGGACTAGGAAGTTTTTTAGAGATTGAAATCCTTTTTAGCCACCGGATGAAAAGTCTAAGAGGAAGATGGATCATGCAACGCATTTCGAACAGCAGAATTCTCAATAAATTGTGTTGAGTTTTGAACCTAGGAGCCCAGTGGAAAGCTATTTTAGGAGTATATAGAGCTTTCGGAATATCAAATCTGGTACAACAATTATCCATATGATCAAGACGCATAAAACATCTTTTGCAGTCTCTCTCAAATTAGTTCTCGCACCACTACAGAAATGCCCTCTCTACTCACGAATACCTCAATGAGCTATAAGATAGAGACTGGAATTACAGCAGCAAGTCTAGACAAGGGATTGAAGTGGCTTGCTCGAAGGAAAAAATGGTTCAAATGTGCTGGAGAAAATCACTGTTCTGGATTCGATATGAAGAAATAGAAAGTTGGTATATGACATTAGATTAAGTTTATTGTCAATTGTAAAGTTGTGCTGGGGACGTTTATCAAACTATCGACAATGGCAGCATGAAAAAGAGAAAGACTGAAACATGGCAGCAACAATTTATAGAACTAAAGGTAAAAATGTTATATTTTTCTTATTTTCAGGTCATCAAGCGAGGCTTCCTTGCAAATACTAATCACGCAATACACAAGGTATTGAGGGCGACTGGTCGACCTCAAATGTAAAGAACGTATAGTCTGTAAATAAAAAGTAGATGAGAGTAATAATATTCGTTTTTACTCCATAATCCCATTCATTCAAAGCAGCGATATTGATGAATTGGAATGCAGACTCCATGTCTTTCAGCCGAGAACTGTGTTGCCAAATATTACTAACAACTAAAAGCCAATGCTAAGCTGGTAATTTGCTGCGAAAGGCTAGTTCAAGGAGGTGATGTGTTTGTATCCACCCATGTTGCTTAAGCTAGCTGTGTTCAACCGCTCTCTATTGCAATAGAGATGGTAGAGCGATATGGAAATGAGAGAAAGTGAGGGGTCTCTCATTGCTTTGTGGCTTTCTGATTTCCGGTACCAAGAATATCACCCTGCTCTTCGCTTCCGTTCTTGGCCCGATCTATCCTCTCTTGAGTCGTCTTGAACAATCGTGGAACACCAGTCTTCTCGAACGGTACATCTTCTGAGACCATCTTGGCAATAGCTTTACCAGAAAGCCAAATGACTGGCATACCATGACCATTGAACCCAGCAATTACAAACTGATTGGGTTTTCCAGGTACCTCACCGACATGAGGATTTGAATCGTAAGAATATCCCATAACTCCAGTCCAAATATTGTCAACTTTAGCACCAGAGTCCTCCCAGCCATTGTAGGTTTCCTGCATGTAATTTTCATAATAATCCTTTGCTGACTCGATGAGAACACTGTCATCAACATTATTGTACCATTGATCTTTATGAGGTCTAAATTTCGACCCGGCACCACCGACGATGATACTACCATCTGCTCTGGGTATAAGATATGAAAGGGTGTTGTCTTCTGTTCGGTTGATATAAGTGTTGTTGAGAAGTGGTGCTGTCTTGCCTTCAGGTACAGTTATACGGCAACAGATACCTTTGCAAGGAACTATGTTTTGATTGTATTCGGGAAGAAGCGCAGATATGTATGCATTGTTGGCATATACTATCTTGCCAGCATGTGTATTTCCTCTGCTTGTCCCAATGGTGAATCCTCCACTGGGTACACTGCTTACACTAGTCACTGGTGTGTTGGTTTGCAAGTTAACTTTCCCGGTTGGCAAAATTATTTCGAGAAGCCCCAGTATAAACTTATAAGGCCACATACTCCCAGCTGTGTATGAAGCACAAGCCTTAGCACCCTTAACTCCACAGATCTAAGAAAAAGTTAGAGATGGATCATTCTGATGCACGGAATCTCACTTACGCCTTCAACTTCTTTCCCCGTATGGAAGATGACATCATCCATGTACTCAAAATCGTTCTTTACCATCTGGTCATATACTGCCTTAGCTTTCTTTGCCATCTCCTCATTACACCATACATCAACTGTGCGGCAGAGGCTAAAGTCACAATCAATATTCTCTTTTTCGATGAGTTTCTTGATCTCCTTGACGTGAGCAATCTCAAATTCTGCAATCTCAGCTCCTGCACGTGGTCCACCTCGCTCAACATAAGTTGGAATATGACCATACAAATCAGGTCTCAAATGTCCTCCATTTCTACCAGTTGCACCCGAACATGCACCTCGTGCCTCTATGATAGTGATTGACTTGACCGAGTCACCGCCCTCTTTGACTAGATGATATGCGGTGCTAACCCCAGCGTACCCCGCACCGACAATGACTACATCGCTGTGCGTTGGGAGATCTTCTGTAGAGCGGTGGTCATGCAACCTATGCTTTTCAGATTGCCAGAAACACTCTCCTGGGTTAGAAACTGGCAGACACTTGGATACTGTCGAGTTTGATTTTGATGGTGCGACCGAAATCGAGAGGTCATTTAAGGTTTCGGAAACAGTCTTCATGGTGTCGATAGTGTTCTTCGTTTCTCAGCTTTGACTTGGGAGTTCTGAAGGAACACCGGTATGCGTATATGGACTTCTGAGTAATTATTTTGATCGTTTGGCGGGAAGGTAATGTTTTATATTTTTGCTGTGTGTAATTCCGAAAATGGTTGTCCAGGTACTAGGTATATAAAGTGAAATCTTGGGACACTTTCTAGTGATACGGTAGTAATTGACATGCAGAGGTTTCTTCGTCTCTTTAAAGACTCAGACAGCAACCTACTATAAACATCCGTACAGAGAGAGGTTCACGTTAAACTATATGTATACCTTTGATAATTGATTTGTAATATTGAAAGCTCAAAGGTATGTATTAGGAAAGGTTAAAAATATTTGTAATCAATCTATCCATATGTACGTATTACCTTTTCTAACACACAGATCTTTACAGAAGGTTACTGTATAATAAGAATCACTACGCTCATCGGAATTTGCAATGATCAGACTAAAGAGTGAGTAATTGATTGATTGTGAAAGTAATTGACAGCTTGCAGTACCCGTAAATGCAAGAGTACAACGAGGGTGTCTTGATAATGCAACGTGACATCTCCTGATCTCTCCATGTTCTTATCAGATGTCTACGTCGCTCGGCCCCTGTCCTCCAACCTTATCAAATTGGCCATTGGGCCCTTCACAATCTTATCATCGATATCCCACTATGACTACCTAGGTACTGATACCTAGGTATTTATCTCCGCAATTTCACTTAGTCAACGCAGTCTTCAACTTTCTCGAATCGGGCTAATTTCAAGCTCCCTGACGTGATGATGTTGTTATGTGACACCTTTCATGTATATCAGACGGTTTAGGCATATGAAGTACGGCCAAGAATTCCGCGGCAATTGCAGACGGAATTGCAACGGTTAACTTTGCAAGCTTACGTGGTAAAGTGGCGTAAATAAACTAGCCGCCTCGATTTTAGTGTCTTCCGCCGTCCCGAGTGGGGATTCCGAAGGACTACTTCTATATCTGGCTCTTTTATCCAAATGAACGCATATACTACCCAGCTACCTTACAGGTAGTATATTCCAGATCCGGCTGAGCTCAAAGTCATTGGTTAATTGCAAGTATGAACATTACGACGTATCCCCCCTTATTTTCTTGCTTCGAGCGGCTGTTCTATAATCTGAGCTAGCAGACAGGTTGGAACAACACCATATTCACCTGCGATTTATTGCCTCGTAGAAGAACTGGACTACTATCTAACTAACTTGTAATTTGGATGAACTACGAGGAAGCTACGCTTTAGGCTATGGAGGAGGTGATTCTAATCTAGGTTTTCAATAATGTCAAAACTCCAACAAACCATTCAATACAAAACATCATCTGAAGTATAAAGACTGCAAGGGCTGAATGCTTATCAGCTCTGCGGGTAGAGGACCCTGGAAACTTAGCACGCAATGAGATAGTTCGCAGCTTCAACAAGTTGGTTTGGCTGAAGGGATGTTATCATTATGTGGGTTAAGCAGGGGACAGAGCCGAAGGAGCATTTTGGGTATCATTGACTTCCAAGGTTAGCGGGGTAGCAACCAATTACGGATATACCCTTCCTCAGTTCTGGCAAAAGCTATGATGCAAATTGCTTCGAGACGAACGAGAGATGACTTTTATCATGATAAGGGACTTCTACTTGATATACATTATCTACAGCTAGCTCGATGTGGCTTCCCTACCAATGCAGGGTAGAGGATTCTGTGATCTGAAAGAGTACAAGATAGACCAGAAATACGCTGTATTCAGGTCCATCACTCTTGCACAGGAAATTTTTCTTTCATCCCTCTTGGTTGATATTGGTATCTTTCAAAGATGTCCTTAGATCATAAATCAGACGACTACGAGCTCGGCCATGGAGGCTCCAAAAATGAGGCTATCGGACAAGGGGATATCGAAGTTCACTCTGGTCAACATGAGAACGGAACGGTAGTAGAGTTTCAGGAGGTGAAAGCTTTTAAGCAAGGCCTTCATCAACGCCATATTCAGATGATTGCGCTTGCCGGAACAATTGGTACTGGTCTATTCCTTAGTTCTGGCCGAGCAATTGCAAGATCCGGTCCTCTGGGTGCATTTCTTGGTTATTCGGTGGTTGGCCTCGCTGTTTCGAGTGTAGTGTTTGCTGTTGGAGAAATGGGAGCCTTAATTCCTCTCACTGGAGGACAAGTTCGTTATGCTCAGCACTTCTTCGACCCTGCCATGTCTTTCGCCAATGGCTGGAACCAAGTCTACTCATACATTGTCTCTATTCCCTCCGAAATCGTTGCCGCTGCAGTTTTAGTAGAGTTCTGGACAACAATCAATAATGCAGTTTGGATTACAGTTTTTGCCGTTCTCATGATCTTGACCGCAGTCACTTTTGTTAGGGTCTATGGTGAATTGGAGTTTACGTTTTCTATGCTCAAGATTATGCTTGTCATCGGAATTAATGTAATGGCTCTCGTTGTTACCTGTGGAGGAGGTCCGAACCATGAATCGATAGGCTTTCGTTACTGGAGGGACCCAGGAGCTTTCGTCCAGTATTTGGGTATTGGCGGTAGCTTGGGTCGCTTCCTTGGATTTTGGACAACACTCAACAATGCTTTATATGCATATTCTGGAATCGAGAATATCACTGTAGCTGCTGCCGAGACGAAAAATCCAAGAAGAGCAATCCCAATGGCCGCTAAGCGCATCTTTATCCGAATTCTTTTGTTCTACATTCTGACCATCTTCATGGTCGGTCTTGTGGTTCCATCCAACGATCCCAATCTTCTTCAGTCTAGTGGTACTGCCTCACAATCACCATTCGTTATTGCTGCGAAGAACGCCGGTATCAAGGTTATCCCATCTATCATCAATGCTGTTGTACTTACCTCTGCTTGGTCTTCCGGAAACTCCAGTATGCTCGGCGGGACGCGAATTCTCTTTGGTATGGCTATGTATGGACACGCCCCCAAATTCTTTACTAGAGTGAACCATGCCGGTGTTCCTTATATTGCAGCTGCTTTATATGCTGTTTTCATGTGCTTGGGCTACATGACTTTGTCGAGTACTGCTAGTACAGTTTTCACTTGGCTTCAAGATCTTGTCTCAATTGCGACCTTGGTTAATTGGATATCCATTTTGGTCGTCTACCTTAGATTTCAAGCTGGCTGTAAAAAGCAAGGCGTCAATCGCCACACTGAGCTTCCATGGGCCGCACCACTCCAGCCATACACGACGTGGGTTTCTCTGACCCTCTTTGTCATTCTCCTCTTTACCGGAGGATACGTGACTTTCATTCATGGCGAATGGGACACTGAGACATTCATCTCGTCGTATTTGAACATTCCTCTCTTCCTAATGCTGTATTTGAGCTACAAATTTTATGCCAAAACTAAAATGGTTTCTTTGGAGGAAATGCCTATTCGTGGATTCATTGAGATTTACCAACAAAACCCAGAGCCAGAGGAGGAGCCCAAGAAGGGCCTTGCGAGATTGAATATTCTGTGGTCATGAGACCTTCTGCAGCAATTTTGTCACATAGCATGTTTAGCATTATTATTACATAGTTACTTGAACAAGATTATAATTACAACTTTTCCTTCTTCTTGTAGATTTAGAATTCTGCTGAACAAGACGGGCATATGTTAGGGCGTGTATTTCTAGCAATATTGCTTATTCATCCATCAACTCTACAATACTTTGACTTAGAACTTTGACTATCATGATTTCATGAATCCCAGTTTCAGCGCAATTCGTCATCGCCACTCACTCGTCAACAGACGACACAATTTTCAAAAATGGTAAGCACTTGCGACGGTTATTCTGAATCTTCTTCACCATGGCCAATGAAAATCCAAAATATCCAAATTCATTTTCAACCGGTTTGGAGATAACAAGATACCTGGAAACAGAGTAATGTAGAGTTTGCGGAAAAGGAACCCCGTAGATAAGTGCGATACCCGAAGCTTATCCGACCTCAACCCCTGAAGCCGACGCATGCAGTCTCGCAAAGTTGCGATAAGAAGCGACCATACACAGATGAAGTATTATAAATAAGAGATGCTATAATAGGAAGGTGCTGTAGAAAGATGCTGCAGATAAGATATCTTGAGTGGGATAGTCGTTCTCGGGGAGTTAACTTTAATGCTGGTTTAGACGCCGAATATGGAGCAAAGAAGGAGGGGTGTGCATTAAAGTTGAAACCTACCAGATAAGCCATAAGATAAACTTCCTTCAAGAACTATGTTCAGTAATCAGGAGATATCAGAACTTCGGGCGAGATCGGACATGTTATTAGATTGCGGTTGTAGTGAGGTTACATACAATATGGAGATGGTGCCAATGCGGGGAATCTCTTATTGCGGATCACGGCATATACATCGTGGGGCTTCCCGCAATTAGCAATCCGTAGGTGGGATCAAATAGATATTGAGATAGTGTCTCTGTCATTAAGTATATCGTATTTTGAATGACACATACATTGGTATCACAAAAGTAACAATTGAGTTGGAATCACATATTGCTGGAAGGTAGAGAGCACAAGTTTAGTCATTCAAAGCGCAGAGTAGATCAAACCAATTATTTCACTCTGTACCTCTGTCTCCGGATCAACAAATCTAAACTCTGCATTATACCACTTGACCAAAATAAACCGTTCCATTTCCACGAGTCAGCAAGCAGTCAATTACTAAAACCCAATTACCAAAGTCAAAAAATACAAAAATGGGCGGCCAAAAACATGTCGTCTTCGACATCGTCGGTACCCTCGTCTCATTCGACGAATACCACGCGCAAATCGACCGCGCCATTGGCGAAAAACTCCGCGCCCACAACATCACCGCAAAATTCTTCGGCTACAGCTGGATGACCGCTGCCGAGCTGGAATTCACATTCCTCTCCATTTCCGAGCGATATAAGCCCTACAAAGGCATCTTGGAGTCAACTTTCTACCGCACTTTATGGTTCGCTGGAGTCGACGACCCGCGAGCCCTGTGCACTGATGAAGAACTCAACGCGTGTGTGCAAGGTTACTCTGAGCTACAACTGAGACCCGGCGCCAAAGAGTGTTTTGAGATTTTGCAGAAAGGCGGGTTTAAGGTGTGGTTTTTGACCACGGCCGATTTGAAGCGTGTGCAGCAGTATTTCTCAAAGGGGGGCGTCGAGATGCCTGCAGAAAACTTTATCTCGTGTGATAGCTCTGGAGTTGCCAAGCCGGCTTTGGCAGCGTATAGAACAGCGTTGGAGAAGTTTGCTGCAGATGACGAGACGTGGTTTGCGGCGGCCCATATGTGGGATGTTTCGGCAGCAAAGAAGGTTGGATTCAAGGGTGCTTATTGTGCGGAGTACGAGAAAGAGCCGTGTTTGGATATTTTTGATACTGAGCTGGAGGTTATGGCCAATACCTTGCCGGAGATGGCTGAGAGAATAGTGAAAGCTTCTTTCTCGTAAGGTACCATATCATCAATATAGTAATTTTTAGTGATGGCACTGTCACGAACCTCTGTAATTATTCAATTTCATGCCTATATTCCAGGGAAAACTCCTCATCTCACTAATCGTGGAGCAATGGAGGAAGTGCAGTAGCAAGATCAACATTCAAGCAGGAATTAAAAAATATCAAGAATAATTTCCCTGTGACACAACCATCATGCCCAATTCACAGTGTATCATGAAACTAAACGACAGCAGAAGCATAGATCGCCACGCAGGTGATAAATTACCACGAGCAAAATGTAAGATTACTTCACCATTCGCATTCACCGAAACAAAGACACAATAGACATTGAGTAAAAGTCGCCGCCAAATCTATTTGCGTTACCTGCTATCGATGATAGTAACCCGGTTTCTCGACCAGTAATATTTACAAGTATCTACACTCCTCGTCGATCAAATATGTACAATCTTTCTTTTCGCTTCTTTTTCAAGGCCTTTTCCTCCATCAATCATGCCCTGGCACATGCCCACCTTCTATTCATGAATAATGCAATGCAATGCGATATAAAGCAAACCAATTCCACGCTCATTGTGCTGGAAAAAGTAGCCCCCTCCAAAAAAGCAACGTGAAAGAAAAAAACTGGGTATCCATCCGTCATCCAAATGTGTTGTATCCCCCGATCCCGCCAAAGCCTCCCGAAGCCCCCGGTCCAAATGGAATTCCTTACAAAAGAAAAAAAAAGAAAATCGTAGAAAAGTAGTACATGCCAAGTTAACGCCGTTCCGTGTGTATTTTTCGTTGCCTTACCAGGTCCAATCTAATGTCAAAACTTGGTGACTTAAGAATATGCCTGGCAGTGTGTCGTATGAGGTGTCATTTGTTCCTTGCTAATGCCAATGAAGCGGAAAGTATGTTGCTCTTTTAGATACCAGCTCCAACTGGCACTCTCTGCATGATAATAGGCACGTCACTAAAATCCAGCCCCCACTGCTGAGACACTTCGACTCCCTTTCTCCCACCCTTGTTCATCGTCCCGCTGTTTCTCGTTCCCGCACTCCCGCCTAGACCGTAGCCGGGCTCAAATCCATATCCCAGACCTCCCGCATATCGGTCCAGTACTAACATATCCTGCGTTGAATTCCCCATATCCGGAATTGGCTGAGATTCTTCAAAAGACGGAGTGTCATATTCGTTGGCTAAAAACTCACCAGAAAGATCATGAAGATTAGTAGAAGAGCCATACGTGTGATCATAAGCCCCAGCATGAATCTCCCACTCCTTTTCACTATAAAGACTCGCAGCTCTTGAATTGTTTCCAGACTTTTCCTGAACATCGAAACTAAAGTGATGAAGAGGGATAGGTCTATGGTATTGTGTAGCTGGTCTAGCACTTTGCGATCTTATCTTGGACGGCCTTTCAGCATGACCGATTTGAAGTTGTGCAGGGATGATTTGCTCTTTTGTATCAAACCAAAGTTCTTGCCCCGATGCCAGGGATCCCTGACTTGGTACCTCTCTGATGGGAGGAGAGGTTGAGGATCTTGGAGGCGGAGTGACTGATTTTTGATATGAAGAAGTCATTATTTCCGGCGATAATGGCTGGGAAAGAGGAGATTGTGCCACTGATGTAGATCTCAATTTTGGCAACGCCAATTGCCCTGGAGCCGGAACTGGTACAGATTTTCGCTGATTCTGGAAAGAGACAGGCGGGGGACTATTAACCCTGTTGGTTCTTGCAATGGATAACCTCTTCGCATCCTCCTCAGCCGTTCGTCTCTGCGATGGTAGATCCCGAAGAGTAAATGTGGAGCTTGATGAAGTAGCTCTTGAGCTCGGTCCAGTACTACTATGATCAAACGGGTTGCCGCCCACAAGCTTATTGTAAGAGTCCTGACGGCCATTAATATCCGGCCTTGATAGTAGAGGTTCCTCAGATTGAGATCGAATCAAATTAGTGTCTGTAGATTGAAGTTGCGCGGCTGCGCTCTTCATCTTAGGTGTAGGTGCACCCCTTGGCGTAGCTCGTGGAGGCGTCCTTTCCATTGCTGTAAGTGCCAAATCATAGGGAGACCCTCCCAAACTATTCTTAATATTGTCAAAAGATGTCAGATGATTTTCAAAATCTGTTTGGTCCTCCTGTGGATATGTATTCAGAGAAGTGGGAGCCTGATACGGTTGGAGTGTATATCGATTCTTGGGTGTAGATGGAGCTGATGGAGCATATGAATGTCTTCGTGCGTTTGGTGGTTTCCACCCGGTATGGTAATCCTCCTCTGGAATGGACGAAGGAATAGGAGGGATTGCATTATGTAACCTATTATATGTGGACTCCACTTCCCCGGGCTCCAGAGACATTATAGTAGTTATCGTCTCTTTTGAACTGACCCTTCGCATTGCTTTGTATTCCATGATTTCATCTACACTGTCGCTATTTTGAAATGAAGCCGCAGTAGGTAGATGCATCTCACTCCGTGATCGAGATTGCGCCGTGAATCTTGGAGAGCCAGGGTAGAAAGATTGTGGGCGTTGTCTCTGCACTCCCCAATTTGAGCCTGAAGTCTCACCAGCAGTGAAAATTTGAGGCTGACGCGGAACTGCTGGCATGCTCTGTCTGTAAGACATGGGCGTTGGCTGTTGAACTTGAGATTGATAGCTCGAACTTGGCAGAGAGACGTTGCTCAATCTGGTCATCTTTTGGGATTCTAGGCTAACCATTGGAATCGCGTGGTTAGCAAGAGGTGGCGCTTCTGTTGTCCTGAGAGATATCCTTGTCGGTGAAACTCGCGCTGTTGAATTCCTTCTGGAAGTAGATGAATTGTATCCACTGTCAGTTGTTACCAGCTGTTTTGAGATCATATCTTGTTGACTATGGATCCGGCCTAAAGTTTGTTGTTCTGGTGTAGCAGGCGATGGGCCGTAGCCAGAGTCAAATGAACGATTGTCATTGCTGTAAGAAGACTCGAGCGTAGGTGTAGTCATTTCAGCCTCAAATAATTCGTCTTCTACAGCAGTGTTCTTGCTGGTAGCTTCTAATGGGGACCCGATGGGACTGGCAACAAAAGAAAATGGACTTAATTGAGGAGGGAGATTCAAAGAATGATTATTAGTAGGAGATAACGGCGAATTAAGAGTAGATGTAGTACCCGGGATTTTGATGGTTAGAGAATCGTGAGAATCATTTTCAATGGGAGATTGTGAGAAAGAGGTTGGTGCCCAAGGACGTTTCACGGCTTCTGCGGGGACAGAAATGGTATAGCTTCGATTGGCGATACCTTGAATCCTGGAGCTTGCTTGTAAAGTAGCAATATGTTGATCATTAGATGGGAGACTAGCTCTTCTTTCGTCGGCACTAGGCGTAGGACTTGCTGAACCATTTGTAATTCTCAAAGAACCAAGCTGAAATGAACCAATATGGCCAAGGTCATTAGGAGTAGAAGTACGTGCACCGTGATTTTCATTCTCCACATTTGTTCTTAATGTCAAAGGTGCCACAGACCATTTTCCAATATTTTGGTACGAAGCTGGTATTTGATTCTGAACAGACTGAGGATTTGATATGACGCTGTGTCTTGTCGCTACACCATGTTGAAGAAGAGATTTTCGACGGATAGGTGCATATATTGCAGGGTCTGATTGAGTTCTCTGGCAGAATGGGTCTGACAACTGCCAATCCATCTCTCCACCGTGTTGTCCAGCCAAATTTGTTGCGACATTGATGGAATCTGGTCTCGGAGGAAGGCCTTCTGATACAAGGGAAAGGCGATTATTATTATTCGATGGAAATGGGACATGGGGAAGTGATTTTCGCGAACGATGGAATGTTGGTCTGGTATTTAATGAGCACATACTGTAAATAGAGAGTATTTAAAGTGACTTACCTAGGACTTTGGGCAGCCCATGACTTTTCCTCTGTCGCCTCAATAGCAACAGAATTTACAGAATTACTTCTTGTAAACCTGCCAGTATTTATTGGTGGAGAAACACTCGGTATAACATCAACGCTGGCGCCCAATTGAGGGTTCTCCGTATCCTTCTTTGAATTCCTTGACCTGAATATACTCATTCTCTTCTTCTTCGTGGGTGTTGGCTCTGATACATGTTGAAGAGACTCAGTCTCGAGAACACTGACAAGCTTGCCATTGGGAAGAACTGAAGCTGCAGCTGTTACAATCCCTTTTCCAGTAACGGAGTTTCGACGACTCGGATTTGGGCTGTTGGAGTTGGATAGCGGTGGCCCGGTAGGCTTGGTTTTTGGTTTCGATAATTTCTTGCCTCGTCTTGGGCCTTGTACTGATTGACTGTTCCCCATTGTTGATGCGGAAGAATGACAATCGAAAGACGAGAAGGCTGAAGCTTAATTATTATACATCTGGCGATGTATATTATATTGCTTCCATTTCGCTCAGATTATACTTTACCAAAATCTTGAATTAATGACGATCCTATGGAAAGTATGTAATATAGGGCAGATTGGGGAGAGAGAGGTGTAATGTCGGTATATTAGGAGGGGGTGGAGGAGGTGGAGGAGGAAGGAGAGGAGGTCGAGGGCTTCGACATGAATGGTGATATGCCTCTTGTATATATCAATTCTTGATACGAAGGGAAGAGAAGGCGCGATGTTCATTGGAGAGTAGTACAGGGGCTTGTTCAAGGATAAATGTTGGATAGAAGCCTTGACAAGGTTTCGTAGCTCATACCATGTAAATAGAAACGGGGTAGCTTTGAAAGATATCAAGGATAAGTGAGGAGTTCAGATGCTCCTACTGCCAATGAAAAAGCAGGACAGCGAGGACAGTCAGGACAGAAACAGGAAAGGATATGAAAATTGCTCCTTTAGGATTAAGTAAATGTATGAATTATGCGCCATCCAACTTATGCATGGATTTTGTTCAAATGCGCTTGGAAAATGCGCTTGAATGCTGTTTCAAAGGATGCAGAAAAAAGATGCAACATAACTAATTTGTATAGGAATTTCTTGTACCCGCAGCCCAGAACCATTAGGTGACACTTGCGGTATGTGAAAACTCAATTGTTGTTGGCTTGGTCTACATCACCAAAATGCGTCCAAGCTGACGACGATCCAACTTCCGCGGGATGAAGAAAGAGTTCTCATATGTACTTTGTATGATGATGTATTCTTGATTTTTGAGTGGCTGGCGTGAAGGCAAAATGAGTGAGGTTTAGGGATACGATGGTAGATGTCACGGCTCACGATAATGCATCCAAGTTTTACGAGATAATGAAAGCTTTAATAAGTAGTAAGCATGGGGGAAACAGACCACTTTCGTTATACGGGTAACGGATGAAACATTATTATATGGTCCTTTGTGATATCCAACAAATTAATATTTGCATCATCGTTTTTAATATCAAAGCAGCGTGTACCATTTATTGGCATTGCAGCGATACATGCACAGCGATAGCGTAAGCTGTCTATACCAAGCATATAGATAGACAGATACATACATTGCCGTGCCGTACTGCCACTGAATGAAGCCATCACGCCATTTTCTCTTTCTCTCTTCCTCTCTTCTTTCTGTCTCTCTTTTCACGATACAGTAGCTTTCAAATGGTACTTGATTGATCTCTATCGGTCTTCCCCAATATCACGGAATCTCCGTAGATCCACGACTCTCATTTGCTTTTTTACCCTCCGACTATCTTCCTTCACCGTCGCCCCTTACCGTCGCCCCTTACCTTTGTCCTTTACCGTCGTCCTTGACCGTCGTCCTTCACCACCCACCCTCACTCCAACACTCTCAAACATCAAATCCTCGTTCTTAAGAGCGGCAAATACTTGGTCGTTGCTCTCAAGGATTCGAAGGCCACGACAGGTTATAGTATGGTAATGTGGAGATAGATACACCCAATTGGAATCTTCTAATCTCCAAACGGATAGAAAAGATCGGCTTGGCTGATGCATTTGCATTAGCGGGCGGCATAAGTTTTGGTGGCATCTTCCTTCTTCAATAATAATGTTTAACTTTCATTCAAGGATTCAAAATAATTAAAGAGGTTGGCCCCGCTTGTAGTGGCTGAGGCTCTAATCATCCTCCATGGCGCGTCAAAATCTATCAAGTGGAGTGTACAACTTCATCTCGAAATTTTAATCGTATGTGCGTGCACAAGTGGAAGTTTATTCATTCCACTTTCAAAAGCTTGAAGACGCTCATTAAAATTGTGATCGGATCCACCAATTTGCTATTTTCAGATGCCCTGATCACGATGAGATCCTTGTGGCGGAGCATCTATCTTGTCTGTTAAATATACTGTTACTTGACTGCCTAGGGAGATTATACTCCTAATATTACTATTTTCAATTCAGTCGCGCGCGTAGGGTTGTTTCTACTCTTATCGTCTCTAAATCATGATCGGTAAAGAAGAAGAACAAGTCATCCCTCTCCTAACTAATTTCAATACTCACCGTGTAGAACACGAGATGAGACACAAATCGAGTCTCATCAAGAATCTGTTTGAAGGCGAAACTCCATCTATCTTGATACGCATATCATCGCCAGATCTGACGTTCTTCAATAGTACGGAGATCGTCTCCGTAGTTGGTATCATAGCACTTAAGCCAGGCCAGATTTGAGACTACGCAAACTTTTGGGCATTTTCCGGGCCAAATGTGGTTCCATGGAACTATGAATGATATACACGATAGATCGACCGTGGCTGGCTGTCAAATGTCGTTCTCTGGAACTATAGATGATACACACGATAGATCAGCCGTAGTCTTTCTCGACTGTCAAATGATATTCATGAATCTGAATCACTAAATGTAGAAAGAACATTTGAATACGCAATCGAGAGCATGTTAATGTAAGCCGATAACCAAATTTGTTTGAAATTGACTATGAACCCCTTCATCCTCGTCCTAATCTGCATGAAACTAAGCGAAAACCATCACCTAGGGCCCGAATGTAAACAATAGCCCTCTCAACAATTCTCGCCGAGCTATCGTATATTGAATTATGAATTCATCTAGAGAGAACTTTTCCATCTACCTCCCTGATTTCTCGTATGTTGAAATTGTACCATCAAACACTAGTGCAGATATCTAGCTTGGCTCTTGGTTATCCTTAACGCGCTGAATCGACCATTTTGCGACATGAGACGAAAAGCTAGATCATCGGGAAAATTTCTTGAGCCAGAATTAATTTTTATTCTTAAGCAAATCTCAATCATCGCAGACGAGCCAGGGAATCATCAGCTTCCAAATAAATTAAAATTCTATCGGAAACATTAACGTCACGATCTCCACAGGCAGGTACAGTGAAGCGACAGCTGAACGGTGTTGCGGCGTTCCGAAACGCGCTCTCGAAATGCCATCTTAAAAACAACAGCAGCCCAAACTACGACTAATTTAATGATGCACCAATTTGAATTTCAGCTTTCGTTAGTATGTTGTTGTCGTAGGAGACGCCGTATTTCTAAAAACAACACGCCACGTTGTTTATGCCAACTATTTAAGCTTGCGTTTGAACCAACATCATACTCGGTACCGACAATCCTTCAGCAGACAGTGTACCTGTTGGAGGATCTTGTCAAATCCTAATAACATGCAGATCCAGCCAGCAACCATCTTTCCCTTGATGCAGTTGAACAACCACGATTCCTTCTGTCTGTACAAGACTTCAGGCGCGCCCTACCAAGCTGTCGTACCCAAGGGAGCACAAAAATGATATTTCAGCTCACAAAAAGGATGATCTGGCAGCGGAAGAATATTCACTTCTTGCATGCATAATCTCCACCCAGTACGGACTTGACCACAGCACCATAGAGAAGTACCGTCGAACCAAACCACGCGTTAAGTCACAAGATGTGTATTGGCACTAGAAGCCTGCACAATTTGGACCAACTGAGAGCTCCTAGGATTTCGGGACATAAATGCCTTCGATGCATGAGAACGCATTGCGCTGCAGCGGCACAATGCAACTTTTCCAGACCTTCAATGTTTTTTACTCCAGGTTATCGCCAGCAATTGTAATCTCAGCTTTTCGCGTTACAGTCAGGCGTCATCTATTGTGTTACCACAACTAATCTTTGCGCATTTGCTGTTGAAGACACTCGTCCATCATAAGTATTGTTTCTCTCCGCTATAGCTTCTCCGTAGGTTCAATGCTTCACGATATCGTCATCTTTCCTACCATTTGCTTTTACGCCTTACGATTTTCTATCATGCATACATGACCACTTGGGAAGTTCCGAACGAAATCAATCAGTTCTATACATAAACGTTCCAGAATCCAGATTTTCCCACTAGCTGCGATCACACGAACTCCCCTCCCACCGTTATCAACTTATCTATTCGAACCTCGGAAACCGCCCGCTGCATTAACCTATCAGACTTATCAGCATGACACTACAATACGGATCCCCGTCTAGCCCTACACACTTCTTTTTCAAAATAAAAGATACACAAAGCGGAGGTTATGTAACAGAAAAGAAGAGATTGGACGGTAGATACTATGATAATGATGAATCAATGAGCATAGATACGAACTGGATAGAATTGTAAACCTTGGAAGCGTACACGGAACCGGAAAAGCATATGGGATTTACGGTTTCTCTCTATCAAAGCTCTGTACGAACTTCGAAGTATATATGTAGCATGTACCATGTATGAGTGCGAGCAGATGATGAACCTTATTATTAATCAAGAAGCAATCATGTCAACTCTCGAGGTGTTTCTTTTTTTCACCATGTCCCAAACTTCTTCTCCAATCATCAACGGCAATTCACGTCCGATGGTTACATCTTGGTTGGGTATCACTCGCTATCATATCATCTGCTATTTACCCCTGTAGTGATACGCTACTTCACCCTCTCGGGCGACTTCGCTCGGCTTCTCCACAAACTGACACATCTAACTCACCAATCAAATAACAATCAATCTATGAGTTCGAATCTCAGATTCTCCTCCACCTTTTTGAAGGAGTCCCAGACTTCCGAATCAACCATGGGATGTATCTCCTATCATATTTTTGAACAACACATCAAGAAGATCATCATCACCAGCAGCAGCAAGATCAGTTGTGGTTGCAGCGAGCTTGATTCCAGATTCCAACTTGATCTCCTTGGGAAATTGTGAATCAATATTCCAATATCACTTTCATATTCACCGATGTATCCTCCTAAGAATTCTTTGAGATGGAGACGATAACAATACCTTCTCCATCGGCATTTCTTTCCTCCCCTGTTCTCAAGCCAGCACCAGAACCACCTCCACCACCTAAAAAACGAAAGCAATCGACTTCCAAGCCATCCGCTGCTCAATCCTCAAAGAAAGAACATAGTATCAACAAACCTAAGCAATCAAAAAGTCGGAATGGTAAGCTTTGGATACCTTCATTTTCATATCTCTTATCTTCGTGATTGATAAGAGCTTTTGTGCCCCGCATTGAGCTTCACATGCTGATTGAAACTCCTTACAACTTGTTAGGTTGCATAACTTGTAAAGCAAAACGATTAAAATGCGATGAAACAAAACCCTCTTGTCAGCAATGTCATAAGAGGGGAGTTTCCTGTGGAGGATATAAAAAAGATTTCAAATGGAGGCCATTCGAGGAGGCTACATTTACAAACAAACCGCCACCGCCACCAGCCCCTCAAAAAAGAGGTACTACAGTGACTCCAAGCTCTATAGACTGGCTCTAATATCTCTAGGTTCAATAGCACTGGAAAAAGCACCAGATAACTCTACAGCTGCAAGTCCAGTAGCTTCTGATGGAACGGCTTCTACCCCCGGCGGAGAAGATACGCAGATGCAAGACTCGTTTTTCAATGCCGCAGTGCCTTCCCCGTCTACTTTTGATGTCTCGACTTCGCTTCCGGAGCTTCATTCGGGATTCTCTCCTATGTTTGATATGAGCACGCCTACTTTTAGTCAGGAGGATTCTCAACGCTCTCGGATTGAGCCGGATTCGGTCACAAGCAGTCTAAGTAGCATGTTTGAAGACACCGGTCTAGTCACACCAACAAGATCAAATTTCTCTGGTCAGTCACCAAGATTAACAGATCTATTACAGTCTGGATCGGATCTGAATACAAGGCCGTCATCCATGTCCATGGCTTCGTCCATTCCTATGACATCAGCAATGATGGGTATGCCCATGTCAAGCCCTAACATGACTCAATTTCAAATGACGAATGATTCATCGCTGGAAGATGATATTGAGGAAATCATTCGAGAGCCTCCCTTATCTGATGCTGATATGTGGTTGGCCATGAGTCCCTTTCAACCTCAATCAAGATCTCCCAGTGCATCTCCTAGGAGTTTTAGTCCAATGTATCGACAGCCGGATGTGCCGGCCGGTAGCCCAGAGATGCTAATGCTTAGATTTGATAAGCAGACATGTGGCATTTTATCTGTCAAAGATGGCCCTACAGAGAATCCATGGAGAACATTAGTTTGGCCTCTTGCACGCGATTCCCCCGCATTGTATCATGCTATCGCATCCATGACCGCCTTTCATACATCCAAAGAGAAGCCCGCCCTTCGCGTCGACGGCATGGAACATATGCGTCGCAGCATTCGATCTCTCGCGACAGGAATTGAAAAAATGCGCACCGATACTGCACTCGCCACAACGCTTGTCCTCGCATTTGCTGAGTCTTGGGATCAGCATATTTCAACTGGGATTGAACATCTCAGGGGTGCAAAAATCTTGGTTAATCAAGCACTCATAAAACACAACAAAAGGAGTCTTGTGGGTGATGATCTCGCCAGATTAAAATTTCTTTGCAACACTTGGGTTTACATGGATGTTATTGCTAGGTTGACATCGATTGATGATGAAGATTCTACAGATTTTGAGAACATTCTTTCGCCGCTTAATAATCTCTCTACCAATTCCTTTTCTTCTGCTTCTTCTTCTTCCGCCAACGTCACTCCAATGTCAGAAATCGACCCCCTAATGGGTAGCGCGGCAACACTATTTCCTCTAATTGGTCGCGCTGCAAATCTGTGTCGCAAAGTACAAAAATCGAAATCAAATTCTATAGCCATAGTATCACAAGCCATGGAACTCAAGCAAGAAATCGAGCAATGGCAACCTTCAACCGCATTCTCGACTCCTGAAGATCCAACTTCCGAAATTCAACACGCTCTTCAAACTGCCGAAGCCTATCGTTACGCTACTCTTCTTCATTTACACCAAGCCGTCCCTGAAATCCCATCTTTAACATGTGCAGAACTTGCGAAGAAAGTCCTAGTTTTCCTGGCTACGGTACCGCTTAGCAGCCGCCTCGTTATCGTTCAGATATATCCACTCTTGGCAGCAGGCTGTGAAGCAAAGGATGCCGAAGATAGAGCCTGGGTTAATGAAAGATGGGCAAGTATGGGAAGAAGAATGTGGATTGGGAATATCGATCGCTGTTGGGAAGTCATGCAGGAAGTGTGGAGAAGAAGAGACGAAGTTGCTAGGAAAAAAGAACAGGAATTGATGAGGAAGAATGGCGGTAGAATGGGAATGTCGGGGATGCATGGCGGGCCCAGCGATAATATGAGAAGGTTCGAGGAAGGAATGGAGAATGGAATTGGAAATGAAGAGATTTCATTTTCGGATCTGTTGAATCTCAATGAAATGGGGATTAGAGGGCAGAGTAGGAGAGCTTCACCGGTGGGAAACAGACAAAGACATAGCATTTCGGGGCCGTCTCAGGGATCATTTGGGGAACTCATGGCTCAAAGACAAGCCGCGGGTCTTATTACGGAGGAGATGGACCAGGAGTTGACAGTTAGAGGAAAATTGCATTGGGTGGGTGTCATGAAGGATTGGGAATGGGAGAGTAAGTCTAATTTCTTTCATTTGGTCTATTTAACTTTGTCTTCTTTATGTCCATTATCCTTTCCAGACTGGGTATATCCTCATCAAACTCCCATCCATATTTCCCTCCCACCTCCTCTCATTTTTATCGTGTAACAAAAGAAATCGTTATCGGTATGATATGTATGATATAACGCTAATGAATGACATTGAAACAAATAGTCCTACTTGGCTAATCCACAATTCTGCAACCAACTTCTCGTTCCAGCAGCGTCTGATCTTCGGAATCCTTGCTGCCACGCGTCGTTCGCTTTGCGCACAGCTCGCTTGTGTCTTTCCCGTCTTTGCTCCTCTTCCAACGCATTTTGCATAAAGGCTTCGTATGAATCCGGATGTGGGTGGTTGTTTGTTTGTTGGCTTCTGGGAGGTTGTTGATAGGAATTTACTTCGTTAAGAAGTGTAGATGTGATGGACCAATTCGTCGCAGAGGAGTTGCGATGACGGGGACAATAACTATTTTGCTCCGAATCGCATTGCTGGTATTGTCGCTGTGATTGGGGCGTTCGAGAGAAAGATTGATGCCGCTTTTTGCTACTTGATGGAGTATTCTGTTCTCTCTCTCGCCATGATGATGAGGATGACACTGAGGACGAGGCAATCTTTCTTTTGATGTTGGAAATCATTGTGTATGAATGAATGGGTGGGATTGAGCTCAAGTAGCTGATTTTGGTTTGGGATACTTCTAGGCCCTGTGTCTGTAAAGGGATGTTTTGTACTCGGGTCCCGTGTGGCTTGACCTGTGAATCGCAAAGTGATCGATGATAGGGTGTGAAAATGTATCCTTTAGCGAGGCGTCTGGGTGGCTTTTTGGGAGTAGAGGAGATAAATGGCGTTTTAGTTGTTGCCCTTGGAAGCCGTGACTTTGTCAATTGGTTTTCTCCTATATGGATATTGAGATTGGATTTATATGGTTGCTTTGGACCGATGAAAATGAAGTTCGAGATGAGATATCAGTTTAACTTGATATTTACAAATATAGAAAGAAATATCAACCAAGCAAGATATGAAACTGATGGATTTCCTGCTACTGGAGCACGCAAACACGTAATGGCTTGAATTGCGTGTAACAAAGAACCTTGCTTGATGGAGTAGAGAACAGAAGAGAGTAATGTGAACAATATGATGTATGTAGGTGCTGCGAAAAACCAGAATCTGAAACGAAGTCTTGGATAACGACAGAAAGATGGAGATTCAGTTGATAGATAGGATCGTTTCAATCGAATGAGATTCTCGTGTTGGGATGATTAATGCTTTCTCTGGAATTTCTGTGCAACAGAAATGTCAATTATAGTGCGCGTAATGTGTGACGCAGAATCGGTGTGCTGTTCGACGGTCGATGGGAATGCGATGTGCGGGAGGGAAAAACGTGATGAGGTTTGGAAATTGGAATCAAGGAGGGGAGGGGAGGGAAAGTAATGTGAGGTGAGGTGAGGTGAGGTGGTACTGGCTGGAGTCAAACGGATGTGTATAAGCAGTGACCGGTTGGAAGAAAGAAAGAAAGAATGAATGAATTTAGGAGGTGTGCTGATGAAATCTTAGGGATCTGAGGGGTACAGAGATGAATGGATGGATTGCGATCGATCTGATCGGTCGATGCAAAGCAAAGATGAGATGGAGACGGATTTTATGATTATATAGACAGAGTGGTCGATGGGGTTGTGTGACTTATTTTCGCTTCTTTTCTCTATGTAGCTAGGTCGGTGGGTAGGTAGGTAGACTCTCTAGAGTTCAGATGACTCGATCAAGAAGCTAGGGGTTTAGATTTCTTGAAGTTTCTGGATCGAAGACGGATGAGTGGTGAGTGGGGTTGTGTCGGATGGATGGACGGACTCGGGGGGTGTTCTCGGGATGCGGGATTCCGGGTTGATGGTGATGGTTTGGATGGGTGGATGGGTAGATGGGTAGATGATGGCTGGACTTGAATGATCGTGTGGAACGTGGGAGATTGGTCCGCTTGGTGATATTTGAGAAGTATTCAAGTTTCAAATTTCAAGTGCCACGGTGTTGGATCTGGTGGGTGGAGATCGAAGATCTGAGATCTGATAGATGACTAGGTAGGTAGGTAGGTAGGTGTCTGGATGAAACGGGGAGTTGGACTGTGGTGATGCGTAAGGTTCAAATTGCGTGTATGTGTATGTGTATGTGAAGCTAGAATGCGGAGATGGAGTCGGAGAATACGAAGGGAGATGGAGATGTAGGACGGAGAGATGAGACTATTTATGTACGATCGAAGTGAACGGGTGTATGTATATATACAATATACTAGGTTTCACGTGGAGAATATAGATGGGATAGGGCGGGTAATATTGGAGTGGAGAATCAGACGGTGCTAGTCAGAATATATGCGTATGTTTCTGATATAGATTTTGATTACTCGTCTTACCATCGGATATCCGTACACACGATTTCCACAGTTTTGTTAAACTTTGTAATCGAATCACTAGATCCATCATTCCTATTCTCTACTCTCTTGGCTCTTACGGTCTATGATGTTATATTACATCGGTAAACGCTCCCTCACGAGTAATTACCCCCCTTCTTGCCAGTCTGCTGAATAAATGAAGATAAAATCCCAAACAATCACCCCAGATCCGACGCATGATTTGCGCACGCAGTCCCTGATCTGCCAAACCCTTCTCGGGTTTCCTATAAACGTCCGGAAGCTAACTCGATCGAGTATCCCGAAACCTGGGGGATGACGATCTGGGATCTAGGGAGAGAAAACGAGATATGCCGGAATTCACCCGGTCGTGATATTCCGGGGTATAATCGGAAAAGTGGAATCAAGGTGGAGGCAAAGAGAATGAGATTTTGAAATGGATGGTGGGGATTCTCTTGGAGGGGTGATAAGATAAGGATAAGGATATTTTTCGAGTCAAGTAAATTGGAGTGATTCATGTCATGACTTTCATGACTTATTAAAGGGAAATGATCGGTGATGCCGACAAGTTGGAGACGAAATGGTAGAACTGGAATGTCTAATCTCAACTCGTACAAGCTCCGGTGTAACAAACTTGGTATATCGTTTTTGTACTCTGATATACAAGTCTTACCATTTCACCGTGCCATGGTTTAACATGTTGTATCCTCATGTCGTGTTAGCTGAGCTGTCGTTTCGAAGTACCGAGAAACCTGTAAATAGGAACAGTGAGTCCTGAGCCTTGCTCAAGTTGAAAAGTCGGTCGCTATTCACACCTATGGGTTCACATAAATGTTCTTGTGAATAACAACAATATGAATAGTAAATCAGCCAAAAATAGAAGATAAAAATAAAAATGCTCGGAATGTACATTGACTTCTCGATGATTGACATCTTAAAGAACTGAATAGATCTAGTATGTTGATATATCCAAATAAGAGGAGCAAGAATGATAGCTTTTGATGACGGATCAAACACTTTTTTACTGGTGCTCTGTGTATTGATAAGTGAGTGAACATCGCAGATATTTAGATATAAATTCCATGATAGATATGTATGTCTTGCAGAAGCTGCGGGCGTTGACTGTTTCATATTATAGGCTATCAAATATATAAGCATACCTCTTCGGCGAGACATACTCATGCAAAGCAGCATAATTAAGTGTGGAATGAATGGGCTGAAGAGCACGCAATATGCACAAAATATTCGACATATTCTGGGGTACAGAATATGGTAAATACATATAGGTTCAACGTACGAAAAATGATGGATTTTGTGTATGATAAAATCAAGCAAATTTAAATTTGCTTTGGTGCAATATATTGACCAAAAAAGTCCATCTACTAAAAATTACAAAAAGATATTCTTGATTCAGAATATCGAAAGAATTGAAGCGAAAATATGAATCCTAAATCGCAACAAAGTGGGGGGAATAACAAAAGTCAATCTATGGAAATGGTTTGAGGGTATCTACTGAGGTGAAAAAGGCGCTGGCTAAGGAAAGGGTAATTTGGATATCGTGCGATCGTAAAATAGCGTTATAGTATGCATCGTTCATTGCGGATGGAGGTAAATTGAGAGATAGAGCTTCAAGCTCAAATTCCATACTTGGATGGGGATAGTGTGGGTTGTTGGTTGGATTCGAGGTTCGTGAAATCTTTCGTCTTTCTTAATTTCGTATGAGACATATCCGCCGAGTTGTCCTTGTATTATGCATGCAACAACCAAAGCTAGAATTTGAGAGTGGAGTGGCAGAGAGTGTTTGCGTTCTCCTTCCACATTGTATCATGTACTCATCGAAAATATACTGAGCAATTTCTGGGAAGTTGCGCATATGCATGTTGTGTCGTCGTTTCCTCAATTTATTTGTGTGTGTTGTCGTGTCTTCGTGTATCAAGGATTCCGAATAGACCAGCTTTCTTTTCCTCCATTTCGTAAACAGAGAGAGAAAGTGTGTCGACAACTCCTCTTTCTCCTTTTTGTAACTTCACATCCTCCTAGCCCACGGGCTTAAATTGACTTCCTTCCTCTTTTCGGCCATCTTCTTCCTCTTTCTTTCTTCTGCCTCTTCTGCCTTTCTACACTTTTCTAAATATTCCCTGAACTCTCGTCCTTCTAGATTCTCATCCATCCCATTATTTATTTCGGATGTCTGTTTGACTTCTGTACATATGCTTGTTTTCCGCGGAGAACCATGGGAACCATTCGTGGAATTGGTTGTAGACGGTGACAGAGGGTTTTTGTGTTCAGAATTGGGAGTTCTGAGTGATTTGCGACGTTGATGATGCTTTTTATCGTCCTCTGGAGGAGTCTTGGAGTTTAATGAAAAGGAAAAGGATCGAAGCTTCTGCAGAAACATCTTTCGCAGGAGTAAAACCTCGACCCGGCGGGGATATAAGGGTATACTTATAGATGAATCGTTCGAAGAAACCGTTGCAGGGTTGGGAGGATGAATCAGTATTGGCAGCTTTGACGCAGATTGCAAGGTTTCGAATATGGACCTGTAGATATTCAAAGTCAGAGGCCCGAGGTCCGAGAACGATTTTGTTTCAATCGTCGAACAGACTGAGTGGATGCTTGGGGTGTTGTTGCTTCTGGATTTTGATTTCAATGCGAGGATATCAAGGATGCTGGCAGATTGAAAGTTTGTTTATCGAGATTCGTTGGAATAATCGAAGGTGCGTTGATAGGTACAGTGAAAAGTTTCTTTGTTCCCAAATTAATTCTCAATCACAAATTGTAGTTTCTGAATGGTCTCGTGCCTCATCGAGTGGTGGCGCTTCTGGAATCACTGTCTTGATGTCAAATTAGTCACAATATTGAATTGTGAGGAGGCGTAGGTGTCGGTGTCGGCGTCGTATGAACCATAGATACTGCTTATCGTTTGCAAATCTGGGAACATATGATGATGACGGGGTTCGGTGTTGGTGCTCCTGTCATGCTTTGATACCTTGAAGTCGGAAGACCGTCCAATAATCTTCACACTGGTATATCAAACCCGTTTGTACCTGTGCAAAGTCTCGCTGGAAAGATATCGTCGATTTGCTGAATTGCAGCAAAGGCTGGAAATTTAGTTCCAAGATTCTTTGTTCTCCTTGGCCTATTGTCTATGTGGTTGACGCAAGAACAATCAATCCGATGCTCACGATCTCAGTTCCGATTTCCAATTTGGCTTTAGTTCGTTTCCCCTTTCTCGTATCTGTGTGATGTTACAATTCAATCGTTTCTGTTGTTGTTCTTGTTGTACAAATCACTTTGATCAAATGTAACCTCGATGAATGCCCCTTCTTGGCGAAAGTCCCCCAGTCCACATAATTTAATTTCGACTTGAACCATAAAAGGAAGCTAGAAGGAAGCTTGCATCAAGTGGTCTGATTCTTACCCGTTCGGACCCGTCTAGTTGGTTTTGAGTTCCCTTTGAGTTCGGTTGGACTTTTTCACCGCACTAGAAAATGACTAGAAAAACACAAGGCTATCACAAGCCTGATACTCCGCAAATCAGTGGATTCGGGTGGTAATAGTGCACATGTCAACTGTTTTAGCTCCTGCAAACCTTTCAATTGGTACGATTCAAAGTTTTCACCAGGACAAAGTGGAAGAAGGGAGAGCGGTCTAGAATTTGACAAAAATATCGAAAATTGATGGTTACACATACGACAGGGTGAGTTCAAGAGATATGAAGTGTACGAGTACTTTGTAAGGTTAATGTAAGATTGAAAAGATAAGAACTTGAGGACTGGCTAAAAGCGGGGTAGGTCTTGCTATCATCACGTGTAGGGCAGGAAGAGGTTAGGTAATTATGGGACCGTAGGATCAGTGAGGTGAATGGAGAGGGTTATGATGTCTTGTACATTTGCACGCATCTTCTTCATGCCCCCGACTCGAGAGCGAGTTCAATATTATGCCTTTCTAAGATCTCACAGTCTGTGGAATACTATACTCATCAACCACATATATGCTCATCTCTTTACTCTCGAAACAAGCGAGCTTGGGATTGTACGTGAAGTTAACATCCTTTGAGTTTATAAACCCTAATTATTCATCGTTTTGTATCATCTAATTACCTAGGAAATCTGGAACCTATATCATAAGATTACCCAACGAGGCAACTCCAAGGAGAAGACTTTGAATAATCCTGAATAATTTCCGAGAATTACCTACGAATCTATTATCCCCTATCTTCGAAACCATGTCGAAACGAAACAGTATGTCCATTTCCCTCCAGCCATGAAATAAGCAGCCCTAGAAAACTCCCGGTATGATCCTTCGAAAGGCTTGACCCATTGACAAGCTCCAACTTCCGAAAAACTCCATATGTGCAGTACACCCTTTAAAAAACCCCTCCATTACAATGGTCCCCAACTCCGTAGACTCTGCATAGTCAAAAATCGCTTGAACTTCATGCTGGCAACTCTCGAGGTCCGATGGGATCGGCAGGCATCTCATGAACAATTTGATCGGCATGCATCTCATGCAGAGGCTGATCAGCATAAGCGCTATGCATACTTTGTGCGTCACCCGGTACCATGAAACTCGGCCTCATGCTTGGACTCATAGCGCTTGGAGTCAACATTCCACCTGTATGTATACTGCCATTATCAATGTTCGGACTACCAAGTGGACTATCCGTATATCCCGTCGGGACGTATCCTTGGCTAGGGCTTCCGGGGGGCTTCGACGACCTGACGGAGTGACGAACAGATTCCGCTTGAGTCGCACTCATTGCATTGGGCAAGTCATGATCTTCAGAGGAAGAATGTCCAGGGTCATATGCAAGTGCTCTGCTGGCTCTTTTCTTCGACTCTCTGCGATGATGAAAGATCCAGGCAAGAACCCCCAAAATTGAGACAGCACCAATCCCACCCACGATTCCACCAATTATGGCACCCAAGGAGTGATTACTATCTGGAGAATCTGTATCGACAGTGCTGTTACCTTCGCCTGTTGGGCTTACAAGTGAGATGGTCAATATGCTTGAACTTTTCGATGACATTGTAGGTGTTGGTGTTGCTGTCGTTTTTGACGTTTCTGACGTTGCTGTGGTGGTAGAAGAAAATAAGGTGTCGAAATCTATAGAAATCGGTGTAACAAAAGTGGCTTCCCAAGTTTTCCAGCTTTGTTTATCACTACATGTGATGGATGTATAGACATATGTATCCGATACGAGATACCGCATGGCGCAAAAATCGTTTCCATCCTCATTCCCACCACTATTAGATTAGAATGTCAGTATGATCTGTTCTAGAGCCTATCTCAATCCTTGAATTCTTTCTCTTTCTATTCGCCCTTCGGATTTTTTCAACTTTGGTTGCGGATTTTGCAATTTGGAAACAATAAACCCATAGATAGCTCACATACCAAGTTGTAACACGGATGTTTGGAACTGATGTCCTTCCACAACTACTTGTACAAGCAGACTCGTCGACGCAGACCCCTGCCCAGCCACAACTCCTCGGATCTGAAATACCAGCATGGCAAGTTCCAAACATCAATCCATTCTCGTCGACCTGACAAACATCTCCGGGGTATAATTCGAGATCAAAATCTGGAATTTGATAGTTGCCGCATGATTCGACCACTGTTACTCGTTTGACCACATGAAATGTTGGAAAGTCCGGTTTTTGAGGAGGGGTAGTTGGCGCAGGTGCTCTTGTGGAGACTTTGATGCTTGACGAGATGGAAGTTTTGGTTGGAGAAGGATTCTTATGCTTGAAGCCAGTAAGCGCAATCTTTTTGGAAGTAACGTTGTTTGCAAAACAAATAGCGATGATGAAAAGAAGGATCAAAATATTTCGAGACATCTCTTCAATCTGGGGGTGTGATGTGGAGATGTTATTTGGACATCTTTAAAGGTCGAGGATGTTGACAAGGTGAAAAAAGTGAAGACGCTACGGTGTAACAACAATCTCTTGTAGTCGTATTAACAATTATTCACTTCGGAGAGCTTTCTCATATGTTATTGTTGTGGCTGACCAATAGGTAGATGAGGTTCAGATACCAACAGTTGGTTCGAAGTGCTCGGAAATTACATTACCGATGAAGACGAAATTTAGACAAGAACATTCAAAGAATATCTAGATGAGTAGTCAATCTCTTCAAATTATCCAAAGAAGTGTTATTGAACATTCATTATCAATCACATTAAGAGCAGAGTCTCTTGAATCAGTTAACATACTTCCTACTGATGTCAAACAACAAAGCACAAGTTGAGGAAAGTTCTAGTAGACACCATATCAACTCCTTTCTACCAGCTCACTTCCTATCTATCCATCTCTAGTCATTTCAGAGCAATGAGACTTTGGCTCTATTGTTAACAAGTCACATAAACTCCTCGAAGAAGTGGAGCCTTCATCTCTCTTGAACGTTGGATGTCTGTGAAGATTCACATTTTTAAATTCACTACTACCCGAAGCACAGAGAAACACATTTTCAAACTCTCCAACAAAGATTAATAGATACCTAGGTAACTAACAGTAAAAGAAATGCAAAGCTCGTGATCCAAAAACCTGAGCACGAAAGGAAGAATCAAAGTAAATCAATCAACTTCTAGCAGCCTCCTCCTCTATTTGAGCTTCTTAGAATATGAACTCATCTAATCGGGGGTTCATATTTATTCACCCCCTTATCTCATTGGTACAATGGGGGGTGAAGAGGATCGTAACCCCCGATTACTGTCATTCATTCATTCATTCTTTCTTCCAGCCATAACACCAAAAATAAAGAGTTTCTTCTCTCTTCTCTAACACCCGTAATACCTCATGAACAGAGACAGACCAGGCCTCTCCACTTCCAACTAACAACGACTTCGAAGAATTCAACTGAGCGTCCTCCTTATTTGTTTCTACAAATACTGCCTCAAGTAATCTTCCAAACATAGTAGGCGTTTTAGTCAAGATTATAGTATCCAATAGTCCGAACTATAGTTCAATAATATAAGAATTTAAATGTTTAAAAGCAATGAGAAATTTGAGGATAGTTCAATGTTCCTATCAAATTCAACATCTGAAATGATTTAAATATTCTAATTGGTTTGAGAATTTTAATAATCTTCATTGTTGGACTGCAGTCCGGAATATTGGACACTCTGATCAAGACATCTCTCCAGCTCTTTTAGTACACTGCTGATACATGATCCCGAACACGTTCTCTACGAACAGACAGAGATGTGTATCTCATCCAAGAAAGAACCTACTACAGTAGGTTTTGAACGAGACCCGAATCATAATCAGATCGACATGTGGGTTCTTCCACGAGGTCGAAATTTACTGCGTTCACGAGTGAGCCAGTTGCACAGTATCGGCGGTATTCTTATACACGGATGGACTATAGTACATACCCTTCTACCAATGCATACCCTTCTACGAATATATCCTTTGGTCCTTCGTCACAGCGCCGCAGGTTCAAGCGATATCTTTTTACTCCGAGTGGACGTTTCAGTTTCAGGAAGTAGAATACTTGATACTGGGTTGAACTTTCGATAGCAGCCGTTGAAATATCTCAAGAACCGTAGGGATACGATCTGAGTGTTTACTGGCACTCGATCGGACGAAATATCGATATGCAATCAGGCAATGCGTGAGGACGATAATTAAGAAAACAGCTGCGACAATGAATCGCGCTGGCTTGAGAAGCATTTTTGTGGTATCAACTAGGAGATGAGAGCGCAAGATTTTCAACAAATCCAGCCTGATATTTGTAGCTGTATTGAAGATGATTGACGCTGAGCGTAGGGTGCGTGATGGAATTTTGACGCGTTGCATGAAATGGCGGCTACAGCTTGAGACCCATTTGTGTCGCTCTCAAGCGCAATCAACGCAGGGTTATGATTAGAATCTCATAGTGATTCATATCCTCAGCGCCCACTAACCAATGAATCTCATCCTAAACTGAGTTTCTGCGACGAAATTGTCCCGGTAGATTGGAACCGAGAAAATAGTTAAGTCGTAGGCGCCAGGAGATAATTATTCAATTGAGGATTTTCTCCGACCAAGATCGTGAAAATATACTCCTGCTTCATGCAGCTTCTGCAGATAAAAAAATACAATACCGTGACGATCTCATTTTCCAAGATTGATAATTGTTACACTTAACTTGAACATTCGCTTCCGGAAGGCTCAAGTATCTTACCCAGAGTCAGCAATCCGTTGTTCCTACGGAAGTAAGCATTACATTACACGGAACGTGATCGAAAGACGTTTCAAATGTAACATCAATGGGCTCCCGCATGAATGAGAAGATTCTCTCCATGTCTGTAGAATCAGGGCTTATCCCTATCCTTCTTTTTTCTTTTGTTGGGCATCTTAAGTTCTGGGTCTTGATTGCACTCTCTGGCGATTAATAGACAAAGATGTTTTCACTGGTTTTTTGGACTCTGATTTATGGTACCAATGCCTCGCTCGTCGTATTACCATCACCTATTCCAACTACTACTACACTCAAAGCGCCAATCATACTGGAGAAACGCCAAGCAACCACTTCTGGGGAGACATGTGGCTACGCAAATGGAAACGCAATGTTTCCTCGATCCGCAGCACCTGGATATTTTTGCGGCAAAGACGCTCAGAACAGTTTATGGGGCTTCTGCTCAGACGCTGTTACTGTTGCTGATTGTGGACTCCACGGGTACTGCTTTGATAAAGGAGCATGTTCTGCTGGTTGCGGGGTTTCCGGGTTGATTTCCACCACTTGGTATGTATTGCTCTAGCACTAGCTGTAGGATGATACTGAGTTATTCAACTAGCCAGCCTTACTGCTTTTCGGAATTTCTGGTGTCTAATTACCAGACCTATACGCATATTACGTGCGCAAATGCTCCTGGCTCAGCTGTTTGGCTTGCGGTTCCCACCATTACTTCTCCCATGCCAGCAACTATATCTTCTTCATCACGAGCGGCGGTAAGCATATCAACTCTGGAAAGAACAGTAACTGTGTCTTCTTCGTCATTCGCCACGAATCCTAAAGTATCAACTTCCACACCTGCTATCATATCATCAACCATGACCGACGATCCAGCAGCAACTTCCAACACCGGTATAGCTCCAGTTAGCACAGCATACCCGTCAAGCAGCTTGCCAGTAGGGGCTATAATTGGCGGGGCTCTCGGGGGCCTTAGTCTCATTCTTCTTACAATCATCGTGCTCGTCTTTTTGAAGAGACGACACACGTCTACCCCGAAAGTCGTGAAACGTGAGCCAGCCAGCGAGTTACCAGGCACGACAGCTAGGAGTGAAATCTTTGAGATATATGGTGGTCAAGTTGATAGACGTGTTGATGGGCTTCGGAGCCCAAACGTAGTACGGAAAGCGAGCTCTGCTGCTTTTTCTGGAATCTATTGAGGAAACGGTTGTTTTGCTGCTCTACAGTTGAGTCGGGATATTGATCTCATGTTATGAGCGATAGTAAAGAAAATGATGTTTATAAGATGTAGAATATCGTGATAAACTGCAGGCCTCAGAATTCTGATTCAGTAAATTCAAGGGTAGATCGGCAATCTGAGAAGATTCCAATAATTAGAGGCTCTCCAGCTCCAGTTCCAAAATATCATCTGAAGGTAGTGGGTTGTAATTTTGGACCTGCATAATTAGTCCCAACTGTTGGGCACTTGGTAGCTATTTTAGCCAAGCACCCAGCTAGCCGGTACCACAATAATTCCTCTAGCCCTATAGAAAACGCCACATGTGTTACAGAACTGCGGGTTCCTTTTTTGATCTTTAATGTGGTAGTAATAGCCGCCGTCATCGTAAATGTTAATCATCATATCATGAGGGTTCCCTCGTTGCAATAATTTCGATTTCGGCTTGGACTTTCCGTAATGTTCGCTGGCCGAAATGGAAGACATAGCATGGTAGTGTATGTAATTCGTTATCTGAAGATGGATTTGTATTTCCTACTTTTCTTCATTTGCATAGGTTCAGGTGCCGCACATGTTATTACTCCTCGAAAAATCATCTCAACTGGCTCCCCCACAGTTCTCGGGTTGCAACCTCGACAGACGACAGCATTCGCCACTTCCACTTGTGGTTTCCTGAATGGGAACGCAAATCAGCCACTGGTTGCGAACAGTGGCTCGGAGTGTACCTTTGATCCAACTGCTACGCTATGGGGCCTATGCAGAACTGGGTTAACCCTCACAGATTGTGGCTTTGGTGGTTATTGCATCGACGCTGGACCTTGTTCGACAGGATGCGGGCTAACAGGTACGGATGTAAACACATTGAGTTGGTACGCTTAGGATCGCTAGATGTATTGGAGTGCAGTCTCTGACAAAAACTTTAGTGCGAAACAGAAAAGCGCTAGCTTTTGTGTCTCAAGTCTCCTCCTCTTCGGCGCAGATCAAACTTACACACATATGACTTGTGCATCCCAAGCGAATGCAAGCCCGCCTGCCTTTCTATTTGAAGCAACCACAACTGCTCCAATATCTGCGTCGACTTCTGAACAAAGCTCGTCGGCTGCAATAACGGCAAGCCCATTGAACGTGCAATCAGATCGGGAGTCTGCCAGTCCATCCGCATCAGGTTCGGCCACAAACACTGCTAGCAAAGCATCAGCCTCTGATTCCGGTTCCAACTCGGGTTCGAACTCGATTTCAAAGTCTGTTTCAAACTCGGTCTCTTCTGGTGCCATCGAATCTCAACCATCAGATGCTACACCCTCAAGCGAACCTACCCCAAGAGAATCTATCTTCACTGAATCTGGCTCCCTCGTCACCTCCTTTTTCGGTCAAACGAATACCATAGGAGTTACAGTATCAATTACTACCACCGCCAGCGGAATCTCATCCCCCAGCCCCTCCGATTCTACCGCCCCAGCTCCCAAGAACCCTCCCAAGTATGATCCCAAAGCACTAATCGGCATTGTACTTGGAGTACTCGTCTTCCTCCTCCTCCTAATCTTCACTCTCATCTGGATAGGAAAATACCGACGAGCGCAAAAGAGCAAATCTACTACCCCAACAGCCGAAAGTCCTACGAACTTCTTCTTCAGCAATCTTCCAGAAGTGATGGAGCCATTTGCAAAAACTGATGGGATCCATGAAATGTATGATGATCACGGGGAATTGAGGGAATTAGATATTGCAGGAGCAGTTGCTGAGAGGACAGGAAAAGTAAGTGTTAGGGAATTAGCTGCTACGCCTGTGGGGGGTGGAAGACGAAGTGGCAGAAGAAGCGCGAGGGAGATGGAAGGAGATATGTCGTGGGGAAGAGAGAGAATAAGTATTAAGGAATTGGATGGTGGGGTATTCGTGAGGAATGGTCGAAGAGGTGACAGCATGACGCAGGTGTTTGAACTTGATGGACAATCGTACATATGATGAGATATGATTAATGCCATAGTACTTAATTAATGAGAACACGACCACTGAAACAATCCGGAAAGTGATAGGGCTCGATAATCTTCGGCACTAGCCAGAAAATCATATATCAAGGACAAGTAGTATCAGATGAGATCGTCAAGTAGTGCATCATAACTCATGACATTGGTAGTTGTATTTACAAACAGCAGATAGACTCCATAATTCATTATCCCATTATCCAATTCCATTTGACTGATATTCCGCTCTTATGCGGTTCCAGTCTGTCAAATAGTTAGCCCTATTCAAGTACGTGAAGCTTTATTGAAGCATACCTTTCTCTGTCCAACGAAGAATCCCAACCCGAAAGTTTCTGTAGTGAAAGTAATCTTACTTCCCTTTGGAACTAATCCAAGTTAGACTATAAGCTTCTAAAGTATTTCTGGGCAACTTACAGTAGAAAACATCGCCCTTGGTGGCATGAACCTTCTGTCCAGTTTCATCGCTAATATCAAACTCTCCATCAACGATAATCTTCATCTCATGATATGTGTATTCGTAGATCAATGGTGTGCCCTTTTCTAATCTGTAGAAGCCAGCTGATAGTGGTGCAGCTTCATCGGTAGATACTGCCACATCACCGAGGAATGCATTCTCGTTAGCAATGAGAGGAGGCTTGAACTCGGTTTGAGCATTGGCGTGGTATGTGAATGGAAGAGAAGACATCTTTTCAGTTTTTGATGAGGATTTAGATGATTTAGCTTTACTGATTATAGAACCCATTGTTAGTCTTGATGAATGGATAAAGAGGGCGATGAGAGTGAAGCGTGGATGAGATAGTAAGATGTTATAGAGGTGATATTTGGTGATTGAGGAAATGGGAATATTGGAAAGGATCATGATCGTATTCATACCTTGAGTTCTTATCTTCTCACAGTAACTTGCAAAGTTCTTGAAGAGAGTTGATTCGTGAATATGAAGTTATTGTAAGGTATGTCTTGTGTTTCTGCAGATGATAAGAAGAGTGTGTGTCGAACTGGAAAGAATCGCTTTCTTCGTCCATGGTGCCTTCATCTTATATATCCATCTCTGCTATTAGCTCCCGATAATGCAAAACCACCAAGTTGTTAAGTCATCCCACTGTAGCAAGAACATTTGCCATATGAGGTATTCTCAATGTATTCCGTGGACTGTATTGCTGAAATAGGAAATGCGCGGGGTATGATATGCCTTTCTGAGATCTAAGGAGGGGTACATTTGGAGCTCGGGCACGACAAGAAAGGCATACGGGCGGATTTCGGATTCGAATTCAGGTTGTATTCTTGATAGGTATCGACATGTCTTAGCTATCGCTCTATAGATTGTTTGGGGATATGACTATCTGTAGATGGAGCGTGCATCGTCGGTATCTTTGTGTCAGAAACCTTAAGAGCTTAACCGGCTGGTTGTTTTTAGCTCCCGTAGCTGATGCATTCTCATGCAGCAAAAATGGCGAATGTTGAATGAAGGGGTCGTCGTTGATCTGAGATAAGGAAGCGATGGAAATTTTGCCCGAATGTAGTTAAAATGAAGCTTATTAGTCGCGCCCCATAATTTTTGGTTTGATGCTTTTTTGTCAACCTGAATTCTAATTCCAAACGCAGGAAACCTTTTACACCAGAATGCCATCCAAGCTCTTCAATATCAATACAAACAAAGTAAATGAGATAGGTAATTATGAGAATAACACGGGTCTCTCTCTTTCCTCTAGCAATCTAGCTAGCCAATAAAATTGCTAAAATGTTGTCGGCCCTCGCCCTTTTACCCCCTGACGCCTCGGGCTTTCGCGCCCTTCGCCCTTTTCTTCGCCCTCTCGCCCTCTCGCCCTACGACGTGCAACAAAACATGAATTGTCACATGGAATTATTTCCATTGGTTAATCATTATAAACGTTAAGCTACTGATTGGTTTGGTCGGTATTGACCCTGTAGTGTATTGCTGCAACGTCCTTCGGGCTTCGGATAAATGCTCATGTTTCAATTACAATACCATCCACACTGCATCATGGATCCCATGGGCCTTTCGCCCTGGAACCCGTAAGAACATCTGCTTCACCATTGTCTCTCACGACAAAAACGTCTTCATGCCTCACGCCAAACTTCTCTTCAAGGTATATTCCAGGCTCTAATGTGAACGCCATCCCTAAATCTAGGAGTTCTCCTACATTCCCCTTGTTCAAATAAGGACTCTCATGCGCCTTGATACCAATTCCATGGCCAACGCGATGTGTAAATGCTTTCTCGTAGCCGGCATCTGCGATGACATTTCGAGCCGCTATATCTACAGAAGCGCATGATGAATTTGGTTTCAATGCATCTAAAGCTTTAGTTTGTGCCTCGAATACTACGTCCCAAATTGCGATCTTGTGTTGGGCAATTGGTGAAAGAAGCGAAAAATCTTTCGGTTTCGAGAAGAAGGGTGGAAAGAATGTTCGGCAAATGTCTAAAGAATATCCATATAGATGAGAACTTTGAGAAATTACATCAGCTTAGATATATCCAAGGAGTGAAGTGCTTGGAGCTCACCCAACATCGATCAACACGAAGGTCTCTTCTTCCAGAACTTTACTTCCATTTGGTCCACCATGTGGCATTGCAGCATTCTCATCTATTAGAAGATCAATACTATTCTCCGTTATGCTTCATACTCATTTCCGCCCAAATGAGAAGTGTGAGATAATCAGTAGGTACACAAGATTGATGTGCGTCATAACTCAGTGAGTTCTACACAGTAGAAAGGTATGTGCAAGACAGGAAATACTCAAAGACCATTATGCGAAAGAACTTGAGAGAATCAATGATTGACTTACCAAAAAGTACGATATCAAAGAATGGATCCATCCCACCAGCTCGCATTGTACTGTCAAGTCCAGCCATGACCTCATTTTCAGTCAAGCCCGGCACCATACACTGCCTCATAGCTCGCAATGCTTCGACAGTTCCTGTATTGACCGCCCTGAGTATATTTACTTCGCCAACTGTTTTCGTTTGCTTCACTCGTTTCACACTGCCAGCAAGTCCCACCACTTCGAAGCCATTTTCTCCAAGTCCTCTCTGGATGAAGTCTCTCATTTCTTCGTCGACCATCACCTTTGGAACTTGAGCAGACCCTGCATCTTTCTTACCGACGACAGTATGCCAATTTTTCAAAAGCGTCAAATAAGGATCCCAGTGTTCCTCCCAAGTAACGATGTACAGGTCACCTTCGAAAGGCATACCGAGCATTCTTACCCTCCCTTCCTCGAAATGTGGTGCCAGAAATGATGTCTTTGCAACAACTCTCCTCAAACTTGTATCATAATGAGGTGTAATGATCATGAGAAATGGTCGCTCTTCAGGCTCCCAAACTTCCCAGGCTTTTTGACTGACGTTGGCATAATACTGAAAGGTATATCCTGGTTCAACGATAAATGCATCTATTCCATCACTATCAAGAGCGACAGCTAGATTATCTCTCCGCTGGACGAATTCTGAGAGCACAATAGGTGAAGCAGTTTCTAGCCATGGCAACCCGGTCTCAAGAAATGTATTTACAGAGCATCTCTGGAATTTCTCATATCTGGACAAACTAATATCTCCAAGCATCAATGGTGCCAATGGCCAAGACTATTTGCTTTAAGTTAACATTGAATCTAATCATCGAGGCTTGTGGCGGACACTTACCACGAAATTTGGTAAAAGTTGTACGCCGAAGATAAGGATAACGAATGCAGTGAAGGCGACGACGTGTCTCTTGGAAGACTGAAGCCAATTCTCCGGGGACCTAAAAGACCGACACTTTTCCATTTTGTGATGAGATATTTCAATGTTGTGTACGAGGGCGTGTCTTTGATGAATGCCGGGTCCGTGCGCAAGCACTTTTTCACACCAAAATTCACCCAAACTCACCTATTTTAAAATTTAATATTAAATCAATTAATAATATTATATATTTGAAGTTTTATAAAAATAATAAATTCTTGTTTAAAATCTAATAATACAGATTTAGTTTTTTTATTAAAGTTTTCAATTAAATCAAAATTTATATTGAATTTTTAAGCTTAAAATCTTTATAAGAAATAATGTTTATTTTAAAAATCAAATTTCTATAAAGAATTCTATTATCAATTCAAATTAAAAACTAATAAATCTAATACCAAATTAATCTTTAATCAATTCTCTTAATATAATTCAAATTTCAAAGTTTTATAATCAATATTTGAATTATAATTCATTTATAAATATATAGAATAAAGCATAGTTTTGGTGAGGAAATTCGCTTAAATTTCAGCCCGGCATTCATCAAAGACACGCCCTCGTATTTAATTCATGAGTTGAACATCATCGCACGGTGCTGATAAGGAATGTTCTTGATAGCGGGGGCGGGGTATCACCTAGGTGTGTATGGAGCTAGATGCTAATTCCACCCCGATAACCAAATCACTTCTCCCCATATTATCTTCCTACCTACGGTTCACTAGCATAACTGAGATACCTGAAGTTATAATAGCTTTCCCAATAGTGCGGACGAATTCTGAAGATACTATTATCAATCTCATAACAATCAAATCAATTTCAACATCTCAAATTATTTCAATGTTTAGAAGGGATTGGATGTTCTAAAGTTTTTGATTGTTGGACTGCAGTTCGGACTATCAGACACCCTTATTAGTTTGAAATCTGTTTGTATATTATTGGAGAAGTGTAGCTAGCTGCTTACCTACTTTTACCATGAGAACTAAACTTTCAGTGTTTATCACTGTTACCCGATGTAACCATCTTGGATTCAGGTCCTTCCTCCAAGCTATTGTTGACACATTTCAACGTGGTCTTTCAACAAGCACTCCTGAATCATTGGACATCAGGAGCGAACTAACGATGCATGTCCTGATGAAAGTAGTTACCTACCTGCCTTTAGGTATCGAGGCTATATTCAGATCATTCCCAGTATGGTGGTAGGATCAAAAATGACCACAAATTACCATTAGTCAAGATCTCAAGTCGTGGTTGAGCTTCATGTCACAATTGAATTGACAACCAACTAGTGAGTCGGTGGTTCACCTAGAAAATCACTTGGAGAATAACCATTCACTGAAATATAAAATGGATGCTGTCAACATTCGCTTCATTGGATATCTAAACAATGCAATACAGATAAAGAGTTGAAACCCCTCATTTAAACCCCTCAAATTAAGTTCTGCTGAAACCTCCAGCAGGAGTGACAACTCTGACATCAGGTGGTGCCATCAAAAACTCAGCTGCCTTGCTATCAGCCTTGTATGATTTGACATGGGCACTCTCCTCATGAGCTTTGAAAGCTGCCTCATCTTTGAATCTGCAAGATCTGGTTAGCCCATAGATCCAGAATATATGAAATGGAAGAGGAAAGGAGAAGGGGGAACGTGTGACAGGCAAGTTACTTACATCATAGTCATAACGATTTGCTCTGGGCCATCACCTGACAAAGGCTCGGTCTTCGATACTTTGTACATAAGGCAGCCTGGCTCGGCATCTTCAACAACTTTGGCGAACTTAGCACCTTCGGCGAGAGACTGTTAAATTGTTATGTTAGAGAGTGTGAAAGAAGATATTCGAGGATAGTAAGAAGACGATTTGGGGGTTCGATGGAAAGAATAAACTTACTTCCTCGATCTTCTCCGGCTTAGGAGTGAAGGTGACGACTCGAGAAATAGGACTCATGATTGCGGTTATGAGAGATTTGGATTGTAACTTGTTTATGATGAGGTGGTTGAATGGCTTGATGAGATTCGTCTTCTAGTGATTTGGTTGTATGTTGTAGAGCAATAAGGTTGGCTTTCTTGTCCTTTATATAATTCGAGGGGGCGAAGATCTCCGCATTAGATATCTCTCAATGTCGTACCTGTGATACTAATGCATTGACAGCTTGTAAGTAAAAATAGCTTCGGATTACGCATTCTCGAAAGCCGTCCGAATCCAACAATTGCTTGAGAGTCCGAGGAGGTGGTGGAACAGACGTGGCACGGGTCATTGCATGAGCAGATTCCCCACAACTCAAGATATCATAGCGGAAACTTCATGGGTTGCCTTTGTTTCGATTCAACCCTTCTACAAGCACAGCTTCCCATTTGTTGGCAGCACAGCCATAGCATGATTTTCGTGTTGAGGTACTCGAATAGTATTCGATGACTGACTTGTTCTCAAGCACTTATGCTCGGAAGGAAATTGTGGGGTTCAACAATCCAGAAGATTGGATGGTGGATTTCAGCTTCATGTTTGAGCGAAAAAAGCAGTAATAGTCGGCTTTTCAAATGGCCGACTTGTTACCACACTCAACCTCTCAAGTAAGGCCATCCAAGACACTTATGTCTCAGGGATTTATAATGATATCAATATATAGAAGTACGAATAATAGAAAATGCAGCGTAAATAATGCCATATCTTTATTCAAATTTTGACTGAGTACGATGATTGTTAAAAATTATATCAGATATTGAAAAAGAGTGTTTATTTTTGGGTTCTCAGTCGTCCCGCTGAGGCTCAGACACAGCAACTACCCGTGGACATCTAATGAGTGAGCTCGGAATACGATGTGTACATGAAGCTTTTGTTGTCCTAGAATCAAGTCCAAACGCCCACAGTACTCAAATAACAAAACTGACCAAATGGATCATTGCCGTCCTTTTTTCAAATGAAAGTTCGCAATGGCACAACTTCATGATCTGTCTTGCTTCGAGTCCAGGTGACGCAGACACCGCGATATATACATAAATTCATGAAATTCTTCAAACAGCAAATGGAAATAGAATCAAACCCTAATTTTATATCATGACTAGTAAACATAATAGATTGAGGTGCACGAATATCCCAAGCACGCGATTTTGACTATTTTGGTCAGAATCTCCGTCCATATGTGTTGTTAGTGCTTCACGTAGTTCTTTGTGGTCCAACCTGAGCTCAAGTTCTTGCTATTTTTAGTCAATCCAAACTCTCACAACTGATTATTCCACTACTAAAAATGCAATAGGCGTGACCAGACGGAGCACTGGCTGGTGGGACAGTCCATAACCGCGGCTGCGGAAACTTCTACTGCAATTTCCAGTGTGACCAGCATGGCCATTGTTCTTCACATATTTCTCGATAATATCTTCCTTGGTACCCCAATATAGCCACACCATTGGCTGACGTCCAGCACCAAGAAATATCACATGCTTATCCCCAAATTCCATGGTAGACAATTTGCCGCGGAAGAAATATTGTTGCATTTGACCGTCATGAGCTTTCTTAGAATAGACTTCGGTTGTAACATCGACGGAAACAGTGAGTTCGGGATAGAGAGTCATCAGATCTTCACCCACGTTGACGTCAACCATCGGGGCATTGATATGTATTCGGGGGAGGCTTCCTGTTCCGTCATCCGTATGGTAGATGTGGACTCCGCTTGAAACTGTCTGGTTTTGGGCGATGGACCTACTTTTTGCGTCGAACGACAGTGGAGAGTCAAAGTTCCGAAGCGAGTCGGACTGTAACAGTAGAACCTTCAGGTAGAGAGCGCGATATTGGATTTGGTTGAAGTGTACCAACTATCTCGATCTCAGCATCGGGGCTGCTATTGAGGGGCTCACTGCTAGCTGTATTATCTTTCATAGTATCGTTTTCAGAAAGAAATTGCGAGAACCAGATGGAGTAGCCCGTTCGTAGAGCGACTTTGGAGCCTTTCATGCGAATTTGAGGCAACAGTGATCATTATTGATGACGTGGATGATGATGATGATGATCGAAATAAGGTGCTTATCCTTAAGATACTGATATTCGTTCATCCATTGGCTGACAGTGTCATAGAAAGCCTGCCGTATCTATCGAACATATCGTCTTTTAGAATGAAGTTGCTTAAGCACATTCGGCCTTACTGCAAAGGAAAGTCCTAACAACTTATCATTGTTTTGTGATCACAGAGTGACCAATAGTCTGGACTGTAGTCCAAAAACAAGGATTGTCAAATCCCCCAATTCAAACATAACATTCAAATGATTTGAGATATTAAATTTGATTGGAATGTTAAAATATTTTCGGATTTTTAACTTCTTTTAAACATTCAAACCCTTGCTGGTTTGACAATGAAGAAGTTTATCCTGCTTCAAAGCTTTGAGCGATGTCTTCGTTGAAGTCAGACTCGTCGAGTTAAACATATCTTCTCCACTGATTCTAGAAAGTACAAACGTTCTTCGAATGAATTTGCGAATGTTCACGATTGATCGATCTGGATTCTATAATGCGTGTTAGTATAGGTATTCCGACGTATGATGGGTTGAAGGCGAACAGCACGCATACCTATAGTGCCATATATCGAATCAGCGAATCAGGGTCGGCAGATTTCATGAAGGTGAGATAATGTCATTGTATGAGAAAAGCCAGTGGAGTGTTTAGCTAGAGTTCGAAATGACACTGAAGAAATAAGGCGTTGAGATTAAGATGGAGCTAGAGACTGATAGCGAGAGAGATGGAGGAGGGGGTGATCTTGAGATAGACATTCAAGAATCCGCCGAGGACATTGGATGTTCGAGAGAGATACTGAGAAAAGCAAATGTGCAGGTAATGAAGTATTTTTCATAGAGCCTGTTACACCTCAATGATAGTGTCACTTGTCTTGTTCTCTTGTGAGTTCAAAATAATCACTCGTATGTTTGGCTCTGGGTTCCCTTCTTGGGTCATCAGTTCTGACTTGGTTTCGCCGTGTAATTACGACTAAAAATGCTGAAAATATGAAGGTGAAGTGATGGTGATGCCTACCTCCTCTTTGTGACGGCCAAATTGGGCAACCACCACTACCACCATCACCAATATATTCATACATAGTGAGAATCACCTGATGTCCTGGTTCCTTCTTCCTTCAAAATTCTCATTCTTAGCGAAGTCCCACCATGCCTAGATAATATTCTCAATTCTTCTTCTTCCTCTTCCTCTTCTTCTTCAATGCCACCCCAGAAAATGAAGAGCTTTTGTAAATATTACCATCCTTCCTTCGAATGGTTCATCAATTCAATCAACATCAATCAATTCAATTGGCTTCATCAAGATCATCCATCAATTGATACAGCCATCAATTGACATATCCAACTTGAGCTTGTATACTGACATTCTTTGATTACATTTCACATTTTACACTGCGTTATGCGACAAATGCTAACAATTCCTCCAAAGATCAGCAACCGTCATCATCAAAATTCCCCGTGCGAAAAACTACCATCGCGATCGACCAGACCGGGAGAGACCGTTACCAAGATTAAGTTGGCATCCTTCACTTCAATTCTATCTTTAATGACCATAGATAGAGAGTTATCATCCCGCAAGATGTTTCGGACAAGCTAACGTCACCGACAATTCTTCCCTCTGTCAAAGTCAAGTAAGTTATCCTTCTGTCTCGAAATTTGACACGTGGTTCAGAATGCTAAGGTTCATGTAGTTTTTCTGCGAGCAGAAACGTAGAAATGATGGCGTGGGAAGCTTTGAAAGTAGCAGTGAGAGTGCAGGCTCGGGCAGTTGCTGCGTATCAAAACACAGTTAGCAACTTCAAGTTGGTCTGGGAGGAGGTTCGTAGTGAGGGCGCGATTGTGAAGCCTGCAACGGCTTGATGGTAGTTTTCTATGTCTATAATTGATATACACATGGTTTTTACACTTGATACGTTACTCAAACAGTTACACTTGCTCAATATGAAATGGAAATGATTTTGCTCTTTGTAACGAGAATGTTTGAGATCGGCTTTCACGATACTATGGCCACACTATGCTTTCTAAACCAAGCCGCGCTACCTTGAAAAACTTCACCTTTATGTGGTTGATTCAATGGTCCAACTCCGCTTCTATTCACTGTTTGCACAACCACAAAACCGAGCAGATGGTTGATATAAAAGCACATTCATCAATTCGCCCAAGAGAAACAACGAGCCAACGAGACGAGCTCGAGAGCTGTACCTGACATTATGATGATTAAATTCTCACACTCGTGCTCTCGACATCTCAATTTTCGATGCTGAGAGATCATTGCTGAATATGACGCTTGACGCCCACTCCGAACAGATCTTTCGAAAGAAATATGCGGACAGTCAGGGCCGGATGGTAGAATTATATCAGCCAAACTGGATCGAGCGCAAGATTTTGGTCGAGATAGGGTACAACTAGTCCGCATCAGAGCGGTTCATCTCTCACATACACCAACCTAGGAGTACCTACCAGCATATTGTTCAACGAACCGCCAGTGACTACATATTTTTCTATGGCCTCAGCTTTTGGGAGACATCCAATACTGAGTATACCTTCATACCGGAACAGGAGACTTGTGCTATAGATACAAAGACTCTCACAGCTCTTTCCTCAGCTTTGAGTAACAGGAAGAAAGCCGAGTTGAAAATAATCGAGCTGAAAGGTTGAAGGTTTGGATGACATTCTTTTGACAGCGCAGGTTTCAACCATCGGAAACTAAACTCTAGAACGGGTTGTGACAGTTAATGAGTGTATAGATGTCGGTGCAGATGGAATGAACTCGAAAATAATTGAGGTGGAGGTAAACGCCGCCGATAAATGTAGAACGAGGGACTGTCCATCAAAAGCTAGATCCGTTGACTGGGTCCGGGCAAACAATTCGGATAAACAGAGAAAGCACAATCACCCCAGACTCGCAAGGAGCGAGATGAATCGCTTACAACTAACAGCTGAGCCTGACGAGGATGCAGTTGATGACAAGAGAAATACGCAGCAGTTTTTCTCTGGTATGTAATGACCACAGGCTTCTTCTTTCAGATATATGCTCCGATGGGTCAACTGAGGAGTTGTGAAAGCGAGTATGTTGAAGATTTTCATTTACAGGTCTTGTGTATATTGCACGGAATAGCGATGCCATGCCACTAAGCTTGCGATGAAACACATGGATTGTTTCAGGAAGGTTGCCTGATCATGAGTCAAGAGTCTGACGACTGAATGAAGGGTTCGCCATCGTTTGGGTGTGTGAGATGACCATAATTTGAGAGGAAAATAGAACATGCATGCCGTCCTGCGCAGCGACGTTGAATCCAAAAGCTGGACATCATTCTTAATAATTGGCTTGCGGCCTTGCTGGTATATAAGAATGGGAAGTGGAAAGATGGAAGAGAGCTTTCTTACTCAGTGCTTGGTGACCTTGGCCACGAGGGGAAGGGTTGCTCTTCGACAGGAGAATTAATCACAGCCGGGATACATTACAGCCGGGCATCATTACCAGAAGGGAGAAGGAAGAGAGAAAGAGAGAAAGAGAGAAAGAGAGAAAGAGAGAAAGAGAGAAAGAGAGAAAGAGAGAAAGAGAGAAAGAGAGAAAGAGAGAAAGAGAGAAAGAGAGAAAGAGAGAAAGAGAGAAAGAGAGAAAGAGAGAAAGAGAGAAAGAGAGAAAGAGAGAAAGAGAGAAAGAGAGAAAGAGAGAAAGAGAGAAAGAGAGAAAGCAGGCGATAATAGGGGGGCGGGGAAGGAAGAGAAAGGAAGAGAAAGGGAGATGAGATGGGGATGAGAGGGAAGGGGGCGCGAGGGAAAGGAGAATGAGGCGACAATGAGATGATATATCTCCGGTATAAATTTGGAACGAGGATGATGAGAGAGCTGATGGAAAGTACAAGGACGCTTGCCGCAGCCCCTGAGACAAAACTTCTCTCACTAAACTCGACCAGATCAATATTTATAGGCTTAACGCCCTTGTCCAAAATGCCTTTTGACATCCATTCTATCACTGCTGGTAGCAACTTTTGGAGATGAAACCTTTCCACTGGTTACATTTTCCTGAATTCGGGTTTTGGACTCATGAGTAGATTCAAATCTGAACGTCTATTTGGCTTTTTCCTTTCTATTTGGTAAATTAGGAGTGGTCCAAATTGCAATAGATTTACTTTTCAGTCTCTCCGGGCGCTATAACCTCTGCGGTATCTTTTGACTCTTCGATCTATACAACCGCGACTTCATCTTCCTCTTCAAACTCCATTTTTTGCCATTTGTCTGGGTATCGGAGACGTTTTGTTATCGGTAACCTTCTTTCAAGGAAACAAAATGACTTGTTTTTGGATACTCAAAGAAAAAAAAACAATTCTCCGAGTTTCCCCTACACTTTTGGGAGAAGACAATTTCCTCAGAGAATTCTCAACGCCTTTTCTTCGCCGCTATGATATCTTACGTTGAGTTCTATAGGGGTTTCCAAGAAGAGTTGTTTCTTTGACAGCAGCTGACTCGAGTTAATTGAGATGTAATTGCGAAATTTCTCACCGAGAAGGAAATCCAAAGACAGTAGAGAGCAAAGGGCAATACTGATGATGAAATCTCGAGGCAAATGGACAAGCGACAGGCTCGGAGAGCCACTTGTCTGAAATCCTCAGATTCACTTGTCTCCAAAGAAACCACACATACAAACCCACACAACTTATCAACCCATGGCATGATATCCATACACCCTACCTCAATCAGCCACCCGCCGACTTCAGATGGAAGTTTTTCCACCCTCCTGGTCAGGCTTGTATCCTTCTGCCTCGTGTTTCTCGAATCTCGAGTCTCCTGCATACCAACGGTAGCTTACGCTTCCGAAACGCAATCGGAGTCAGGTAGGCGCGATGCCTTTGCGCTAGAAACCCTCATATTTTTGATTGGTGAATGCCGTTGTCATAGAAGCGTGTACTCCAATTCTGGATGCAGATACAAGGAAGTGAAGATGTACCTATTTGAAGTGATGTTGATAGCATGACGTGGATGAAAATTCGAAAATTTGAGGTCGGGGGACTAGGCCAAGGGAGAGATGATGATTTAGAAGATTGAAAGGAGAGGAGGTATCTTGATGTGATATTAATAGATCTTGTTCTGGGTTGGCTCATATGCTTTAGGGCCCGGAAAAAAAATGTGGTGCCAAGGCTTCAATTTTCGTGGAATATTTTAGGGCTTGGCAGTTTGGTTCCGTGCCGAATAATCCCACATCTTGCACATCGGATTTTGTATAAAAGTGTAGATAGCGTAACATATCACAATCCAATAAATTGTTGTTTAATGGCCTTACAAAACCTTGAGTTCGATCTGTGTTTCAGTCCATGTTTTGAACAAAGTTATATGAAGGGACTAGAAAATACAATACTGTCCTCGCTTTTAATCGGTTGAGTGCTTTTTGAGCTATTGTGAATTTTATAAGATATCATTAACCTCGAAAACTTAAAAGTTTAGAAGAACACCTCTAAAATTATGTGCTTTGCTCAAATCAAGAGTTCGAAAAGATAGGTAGCTTTAATCATCAACGTGTAGAAACATTTGATTGGAAGCTATTCCCACTTCCTCGTATTTACCCAGCTAGGAAGGTAGTCTCTTAAATCTCCTTGTACCCTACGAACACCCGCTCTCTCGCTTTGAATTCACAACTCATAGATAAAGCCTTCTTGGAAGTTCTTGTAGGAACTAGGCGGCCGCTTACCAATAGAGAGCTGACTATCACACCAAAACTTCAAACTTGTACAACTTCCTCAAATCTCAACTATTTCTTACAAATTCAACTGTAAAACGATCCTCCTAGACCTCCAGACTCGCAAAAGCGAGTCACACAGGGCTCGAACCTGTAATCTTTTGATGGAGAGAACTATTATCTCTAATAGAAATCGAAGTCAAACGCGTTACCATTGCGCCAGCAACCCAAGTGTTTGATGCGGGATACCCGTCTGGTCTAATATATATCCTATTTTCTGTGCTCCTGGAATTAGCCGGAGGATATCACACCTTACAATACCAAATTAAGTCCTCTCAGAATTAGACATGATCATTGTCACCAATTTCAACCTAACCAAATGCTAGTATCATCACAAAATCAAATCATCATACTCATGTATTGCGTTGACAGAATCTTATATTTGAGTGTCAATATTTTGATATAATCCCGTGCGAGCCGTGGTAAAAGAATTCTATTGCTGGCGGAGAATAATGGCTCATTCACGTGATGGCTCTGCCCCAATGCTTGTTATTCACCAATTGGAACTGGTTATCTCAATATTCAGACCCTCTTCGTCAATAGAACGTTTTTTTATCGAATTCTGAATAATATCTATATTGATCTTTTTGGTGGTGTTGTGCTTATTAATAATCAAAAAAAATTCGGCCAATCAGGGATCGGGGGAACGTTTAAACCTTCGGAAGGCCCCTGCCTCGAAATCAAGGCCAAAAAATTATGTAATCACCGTGTGGTCTGAGGATGAGATAAGGAACTGGCAGGAAAAGAGATCCACAAAGAAAAAAGTCTCATCGGTCAATTCAAAGGTATTCAAAGTACAGAAATAAATTCAAGTTCGGTTGTGGAAGAGAGCCATTTTCAGATTTGCTCTCTTTCTTTTGAGCTTGGTGTTCGTTTTTTCCCTAGCCGTTGCGAGGCAGGATAATATACAATATTGGACTTCTTCACGATTGACCTATTCAAATCCACAATTCACAATATACCCGCCCATCTTTATTCCCATTTGCTGAACTCTAAACTCAGTACAATGAATGGGCGAGATCTGATGTGCCGGTCTCAAGTGGAACCGCTACAGTCGTATCTGGCTTGTTACAACCAAGCTGTAACTATTCCCAAAATGCTTCCATCTTACTTCCTTAAATCTCACTCATGTATCACGAGAACAATCTCTTGGGTCCATTTCCCCACACTCCGGGCCGCTGCCACCGACACATATCGGCAGTATTCTTGGCGGCAAATATCCTATATTGAAGAATCATTTTACCCACCCTATCATACACCCTATCATAGCGATTCCCCTGACATTCGGCAATCTGTCTTAAACCTTTTTCAACCATATCTTCAATTCACTCCCGGGAGCCCCGTACATAATAACCCTTTAATTCACCTCGTGATATCTCTTTCGAGCCATGAAGGGGCGGAAGATCTGTTGCCGAGTATGCGGGGATTACATGCTGAAGTTTTTAGTAAATGCATTTTTAATTTACGGACGGATTCCCTACTCAGTCTGGCGATCAAGTGAATGGATGCCATGGCCCGACGGGATTGTTATGGGATCATTCTGTACAGTAATTGCAATATGTGCTAAAGTACTTAAGATGATATTGTCCCATTGATGTTAATCTATTAGAAGTAGTTGTCTCTAATCTCCCTATCTTGATAGAGGTATCATTGAAGCCATGAAAACTGCTGCAATTTTCAGCGTGCTGTCCCTGGCAGTGGAGTTAGTATACTCCCAGGCTGCAGGATATACTCAATGTAAATTTCCACCAACGTGTGTTATCATTTCTTGATACCTAGTTACTGATTTAAAGATAGGTGGTGGGAATGGCTGGACTGGGGCGACTACCTGCGCTACTGGATATGTTTGCCAATCTCAGAATTCGTGTAAGAACCCCATCAAGTTGTACCTTTACATGACGAAGAAATACTCATTTCTGTAGATTACTCTCAGTGTGTTCCGGGTACTGCTACCACTGCAGTACCGACAACTCTGACTACGTCAACGAAGTCCAGTACCACATCCGCAACTTCTATACCAACAACATCTACAACCTCTAAGCCAATCACATCCGCAACTTCATCCTCGAAAACTAGTTCGACGGCAACTTCCACGGTCCAATCGGCATGCACTGCTGCATTCACCCCAATCACTGCTTCTGCCGCATTCGCCGCATTAAATCCAGGGTGGAATCTCGGGAATACATTGGATGCTGTTCCAGATGAAGGATCCTGGAATAACCCTGCAGTCACTGCTGCTACCTTTTCAACAGTGAAGGCTGAGGGAT